AGAAACCAACCAATAAACCATCAGGCACCAGGCACAAGGCACAGGCACAGGCACACACACCCAAAAAAGAAAACTTAGCAACAATCGATTCTCCCGTTTGAAATTCGGATAAAAGTAAAATCTTTAAGTGAAAAATTCCCAGTTCCAAAACGAGCGAAAAATTCCATCAAGTTGCAGCGAGTGAAAAATCGAAAGAAAAAAAACCAAACCAAGGATGCAGCGACCAACACCGAATATCTCCACGAGCATTATGAGCCGCATGTCGGTCTTTGAAAGTGAGTCGAATCAGAGTCAGTTCAGTAGTCCCTCCACTCCCCCCTCCCACTCCTCCACTCAATTCATGCATTAATTCATGGGCTCTATTCAAACCTAAGCTGTCTTCGAATCAGCCAAACAAAAAGACACAGAAAATGAGTGAAATCTGCTATTCTTTTGGCTTTTTCTTTTGCTTTTATTTTATTGTAAAGTGTGAAATGATTAAGTGCCCGAAGTTGCAGCCAAATCTAGATGGAAAGTGTGGAAAAATACTGCGAGTGTGTGGCTTAGATGAAGAAAGACAAACACGAGACACGTACAGGTGATAAGGTTGAAAGATTTTTTTAAGTTTCTGGCATTTGTTTGTTTGATGATGATGGTTTTTTTTTGTTTTTTTGTTGGGATGCGCAGTTTGACGGCAAAATAGTTGCTTTGATAAGTTTGAAAAAGTTTAAGCAAGTGTTTAGCCCCCGCCTGGTACTCATGGGGTATATTCAATTTGGTGCAATGTACGTAACAGCCAAAAGGGAGCAGTCTCTCTTTGCACCCATAACTCTTAGCCAGTAAGACTTTATTTACACTCGGCGACAATCGAAGTTAGTGTAGCGGTGCAGTTGAAGAGAGGGCCTTACATTTACTACTCTGTCCTTCCACTTCTAAATCTCTCCCAGTTAGAACTGTACCCCTTTAGAGTTCTTCCATCAGAAGTGTGCCGCGGCAAAAAGTTTCTTTTTAAAGATTTCCAAGGATTTTTTTTTAAAAGAAAAAATATTACTTATTACATATGTATATTTCTTGAATTTAAAAGGCACACGATATTTGAAATTAGCGTTTGGTATTTTGGTTTTTATTTCCATTCTTTGTATCGGTTTCCCCTATATTAAGAATTTTGTGGAATATCCATTAAAAGTTGACAAATTCCAAGTCTTAAAAGTCTCTTTAAGAAGCTAAAAAAAAACTTGTTAGTATTTTATTAAATCGTAGCTCTCTTCCCAGTGAGACGCATAGCTCTGTCAGCCGATTTAAATGATCAAGAACTAAATTCTTTAACTGTTTTCGATTGAGTTCTATAAGTGAGACCTGCAAGAAATGTGTACTGGAAAGTGTAAGCCCCTCTTCATTTTGATGACAAAGAAAAGTTGGCCCAATGCCCCCTGATGAATATCATATGGTTAGGCGCTCGTTAACCTCTCATGACAATGGTTCACGTTTAACTTTTAAACAGTACGCGACTGTCATGGCTTGTTGAGCCCTTAACCCGGTTATGCGAATGGCGTTCCACTCGATTCTGTACTAGAAAACTTTCATTTACCCATGTGCCTGGCGCTGCTTGATCGTCATATTCCAGAGCCTCTTCTTGCCTATCATAAATTGTACACACACACACACACACAGAAAATGCAGTGGGTCGTCTCTAATGTTTGCTTGATTTATGTGCCATAGTCTGGGGGTCATTCGGTGAAAACAAATTGCATATACTCGTAATTAGCATGAGTGGAGTGTAGTGGAGTGTGTGGGCTGTTAGAGGGTTTTGCCTGGGTCCCCCTTATAGAGCGTCTCTTTCGTTTATTTCATTTGCGTTAATTTCACACCCAAACTGAGACCCAGACGAGGAAATACTTTTACACCAACAGCTACAGCAACAGCAAATGCACATGGGCATGGGTATGGGCATGGGCACCACCTCATTAACCCACATGGAAGCAAGTCGCGCACAATTTTCTAACACGGTCTGGCCTCTGGAGGATGGGGATGGGGGATGCCTGTGTTTGTTGGTTAAACAAACAGCCAGTCGAACCACTCGATTGCGCAAGTGAAAACTTGTTGGGGCGACGATGGACACACCATAAGTGAAGCCAGTCCAGCCCCAGAGCCCCCCTGGAAGTCTGCCTGCAAGTGATAGAAAAATACACTCTCCCAATGGGGCATTCTGGGCATTTGCAGGGCATTTTAAGAGATCAGTAGTTTGGCGGATATAGGCCTAAGTGTACGCGTTTCCTGCGTTTCGTTCGCTGAGATTTATTCTGTTTTTTTTTGGCCAATTTTAATAAATCCTTAATGGAACATCACTGGCAGTGCACATAAATATAGCTAACAGGGAAATCCTCATGCCAAAAAAACAAGTGTCGTGGGATAAGTTTATTGTGTTATCAGATATTGGGTTCGTATTTTATTGGTATATCATAAGCACACAGAAGCAATATGTTTAAGACTATTTTTTTTTAGTGATATAATTTAAAGATCACCATATCTTAAGATTATCATTGAAAACAGTGTCATAAGTAAGAGAATCATGTTAGATGCAAAATGGAAATACTTATTAATTTTTCAAGGGTATACTGCGACCCAACCAACCTTTTGCTTTTTTCTGCGGAAACTAATTAAAAATCATTACAAGCATTGGTTCAATCCATAGTAAGTGAAGGGCCCAGACATCGCTGTAAATGCACAGAGTCGACGGCCAGCGCATGCAAATGCATCCCTTTGAAAAAAAATAGAAAAATCAATCAAAATTGATTTGCATACGATTTCCGATTGGGTCACAATTGGTATATAAAGGAGGGCATGGCACACATGGGACATGCAATAATTAGCATAATGCACGTTTCATCATTAGGGTCCAGCGACAGATGTTAAAGGTTAAAGATTCGGGGCTTTCAGGGTCATTAAATAGCCGCCAAACAAGAGATTTTGTTGTTCAAATGCTGACGAACAATGTGAAATTATGAACGAATGACTGACTGAATGTGTGTGTGTGTGTGTGTGGTGCCTCCGCTGAATGAACATTAATTTGTTGGAATTGCCTGAAATGACTCTGATGAAATTTGATTGATTGATTGTCGAATGTGAACTTTGAGATGAGATGTGGTGGAGTGGCGATGGCAATTTAGCCTTTGGTTAACCCTCTCTTGGAGATGCCCAATGAATCCCCCGATTCGTGTGAACTAGTTTGCCAATTGAAATGTCTTTTGATTGAGATATTTTCTTGTGAGATTTAATACATAATTTCAGTTTATTGTTCATGTTCAGGAATTGAGGCATTAAAGAGGGTTCTCTTGTGGTACACAAGAAATCAAATCAAATGGATTTTTATTCTATAAGATGATATGAGGAAATTTGTTCATTTGAGTTCTTAATTTATTCCCTAGCAAGTTCAATTGATGGAGTATTAATCTACTTAAATTTTCAAGAGTTTTATACAGCTTTAATCCATTAAATTTGTAGACAACCAAAAGCTAATAAATCAAACAATGATAAATTTGATTTGTTTAGCAATTCTCTTACGTTCAGGTAATAAAATATTTTCTTGTGTTCTTATTGTCCAAAAATTACGAATTTTCCACTAAAAACCAAAACTAGTTAGCTTCTGCAATCTATTTACTAGTTCCATGAGACAAAATCTCTTTAATCTCCATTAATTTATGTGTACAAGATTTAAATTTTTGGCACAGTGCCGCCTGATCCACTCCACTTGCAACTTGATTTTGGCACAGCTCTGATGGAGTTGGAGTTTCATTCCAATCTGCAGCAGTACTTATATATTGGTACCATCTTTCGCCCCCGAAGCGTTTTTCAGCAATGTCATTGCCCTTTCGTCGCCGGGGCTTCTGTTGGCTGCCTCTGCCACTTTGTCTCTGTCCCTTATCATCGCCTATTAATCTAGTTTAGGCTTTGGGCTTTGGGCCATAGTCAGCGACAGCGACAGCGTCAGCGACTAACTAGTTCGCACTGCTGCCGCCCCAAATGTGGGTTAATATGATGGGTGAACAAAAGAAGTTTGCTCCGGTGATGGTTCAGAAAAGAATTTACAAAAAAGCAGCACAGAACCGAAGAAAAGAATCGGTGAAAAAAAAACAAGAACAAGAAAGTAAAAAAAAAAGAAAGAACTTTACCGCTGACTTGAATCGAGTTTCTGTTCATGGGGTGCCCCATTCCCCACTGCTCACGTGGGTCATATACCATATACCCTTGCGGAGGGTATTCTCATGGTTTCTGCGGGAAAGTTATCAGAAGTATTACATGAATTTATTAAGTGGCTGCTGCATCTGGCCTTCTTCTTCTATCCGTTTTACTCAATTAGTTTAAGTCATCTATGCAGCTTGTGTAGCAGAATTAGACGTACAATTCTGGGTACAAATTGTCCATAAGTGAAAGGATACAGTCGTGTTAAATAGCACTTATAAATAAATACAATGTTCCACGGGATGTGCGGAACTTCAGCTACTTCTGCTATAAAAATACAAATTTATACGATCACATACAAATAATTAGCTATTAACGTAATAATTAAATTTTACAAGCTGTAAGAGTATCTATGCTTCAGCTTGCCGCAGAAATTCCTTTCTTTTTTTTACGGTTTTACAGAGAATTTCTGCCTTGTCGGCTCTTGAGCTGTTGTTGTGTTTGGTTATTTTTTTTGCCTGCTGTTTTTTTTTTTTTGTAATAACAAATTGACAATGACATGAATGAGAGGAAATATTTAACCTTAATAAACGGCTGAAGACGTTGCGCTTTAGACGTCTTTTGTTCGGTTTTTTTTTTTGTGTGCTCTGTTGTGGTGGCGGTGGCATGGTACCGTGTGGAATGCATTGTTGCAGCAGGCTGAACTGATTTATGGAAGGCCAAGTGGCAATTAAACTTGGGCAGACCCAAGATAGCAGAGAATGTCCAGAGCTTCGGCCATAGAACGAGAGTCGTACGAGTCCATTCACCATGTTAATCGCTGGAACTCTTTTCGCTTTCAGATACCGCATTCAGGCACAGTTCGGCGGAGTCAGAGAACGAGGCCGGAACGACAATGATGTCAATGAGCAGCTCCCCACCGGCAACGCCAACGGGCGTACAGACCGACTCCGAGGGCCTCATATTGCCCAAAAAGCTGATCAATCCCTGTATTGAGAACACCGATCGCAAGGAGCTGCATCGAGAGTTGAAATTCAATGCCAGAATGTGAGTAAAACTACAGGAATCTCCTCTATACATATATCACTCTCTAATCTCTATAAATCTTTTTTGCAGTGGCAAGAGTGTGCTCAACCAGAAATCGGAACTCCAGCGTGCCTACGACAAGCAGAAGGAGCGACATGCGGCCGCCGAGCAGCATTCCCCCGATGCGGAACTGGTGGGCGGCATACCCGGGCTCAAGGGCGAGCTGGGGCGTGTGATTTTGGAGCGCGCCCAGAAGCATGAGGCGGCGGCTCAAAAGCAGGATGCCGATGAGGCCGAGGATCGGCAGTATGTGAATCCCGAATATCTGAATGTACGCGCCAAGCTGCGCACGGCGAATGGACCCAACTAAAAGGAGGATGCAATGCAACCACCACCCCCCCCGACCCTCGACTTATCATAATTAACTTTTAAAGAAGAGATGTAACCAAATTGAAACGAAATATGTTTAATGTGTTGACTTTGTGAACTGTTTTCATTTTGATATTATGCAAAACTAGTTGTATTGTTTAAACCTAGACCTAAGCCATTTACTTTAGTGTTAGCTGCTAATTTTAGTTAACGTTTCTTGGACTAATTTCACCCCCCCCCCCCCTCTTAATTTCGATGTGTGTGTGTATAAACCATTTGTATAAAGTTTTCGTTTCTTTAAGAAGTCTATTCTTCCAACAAAAAAACCAAAACAAAAACACAAACCACAAAACAAATATTGTATCTAGTGTAGTTATATGTGAACGTATATGATATGATGTGTATCTATATCTTTATCTATATATATATTAGTGTGAGATCGATAGTGCTGTAAACAGGGCAAAAGTGTTAGATCGTAAGACAGAGATAGAGACCGAAACCGGGAGAATGATATTGATCTACAAAAACAAAAAAAATAAACTATTTTATGTCAACAACAAAAACAGAACAAGCAAAGGAAAAATTTGAAACAGATTACAGAACTATATACAATATATATCTATATACAAATTTAGTTTCTGGAATTAATAAATTTTATTGTAGGTAAACAGTTACATAAACATTCGTTGAATTATTTTTGCATTTTTTTTTGCATCCAGCAATTGGAGATTTGTATGAAAAACACCCAACAGTAATACTAACTTCAACTGGAACTGTAACTGGTTCTTTTTTTTGGCATCTTTTGGACATTTTTGATGGACATTTTTTCTTCTGCAATCAATTATAATTGATTATTCCTGGAAAAATCATACAAGGATTAATTTATAACTCGAAGTATTTTTAAATATTACGCTAGAACTTATTTCAGGTTGAATCACTGCTTTGGCTATTATTAAAATCTAATCCGAGATTTTTTCCTTTTTCCTTGTTTATTTTTTCTTCTTTTCTTTTCCATTCTTTCCTTTGCCTTTGCCCTTCACTGAACTTTTCCTCGCTAGTTTTTCCTCTTGCTGCGTATGCGTATTATTTTGTTCTTAGATTAAAGATCAAAGAGATTAATCCGCTTACCTTTCGAAGTTTCTCCATCTCTTCCTCCTGTTCTTTGGCTATTTTTGCGCGCGTCTCTGCTACTTTCACACGGAACATTTCTACCTTCTCCTGAGCATTCTTCAGATCGTCCTTGCACTTGTTCAGCTTGTTGAGCGTATTCTGAACGACATTTGCGGCATTCTCCATGTCATCGTCGTAGGCCTCCTGCGTTAAATTAATGCGATGCTTGTACTCATCAATCAGTGTCGTGTACTTAAGGTTGGCACTCCTCCACACAGTCTTATCCGTATCAGTCAGCTCTTTCAGTTTGTCCAGCTCATCTTGTATCACCTATAGATATATATGAGGTATGGTTGTTCTTTAGTAAAACGAGAGGTGATGCCGCATAACGCGCGACTAGTATAACCGAACCAATCTCGTCCAAATGAGAGACTCAATTAGCACAGAAAATTACATCCAGACTAAACTAAAGTAGCTAGAAATATAAATTGGGCATTTTGGGTACTTTTTTTCTCTCATTAGACTTGTTAAAGATCTTCCGGAACAATCGGTAATAAGTGCAAACTAATTTTTGTGGTTCCATGTCGTATATTTCTATTAGAAATAATATGAATTTTGGGACTTGCATTGTTAATTATTGAATGAGGGTAAACCAATCTATTTTCATCGGCATCAAAATGACATTAATAAAACGCGAAAAATGCGGGTAAGCTGCCACTAAGAATTATATATTGTATACCGTTGAGGATAATCAACCAATGAGTGGAACAAATACTTTATAGGGTGTACAATTTGTTTATGTTACTGCCTCTACATATATCGTGTGTTAAACAAACCTTTATTTTACCTGCATCTTCGTAATAGCGCTGCTCCAACTTATCGCGCGACCAATTAACCTGATACCGTGTCTCAATGGGAGACTTGTCTGTGGTAGAATAAAGGCCAAGTATTATGGGTGTTTACGTGTTGCTGGAATACTCACAGTCCATGAGGTATTGCTCCTCCTTTTTAAATGCACGACGTTTTGATATCGATTGCGGATCGGCGGACTTTCCCTGCTTAGACTTAAAGAGTTGCGTGGCGAGATCATCGTGCTCGATATTCATGTCCTCATAGGGCTTAGCCAGTATCTCCATGATATCCACCTGAATGTCGCTATCGGGGCAGAAAAACAATCAACCCGTGACATATCTAAGCAATCATTTACGGACTCACCGCATCAATGCCATAAAACCCTGGCATAACTCATTATTCTCTATCAAATCATTCCTCAAAGAATTGATCAGGCGTATAATCTCTTCCAGATCGACATAATATTTGAGAGCCTCCAGTTCCTTTTCAGTTTTTCCAAACACCAAGGTATCCAAATAAATCGTGTCGCCATGTTTTTTAAATCGTTTGTAATATTCATGACTGGACCAACCAAATATGGTTTTCTTCGGATCGGATCCCTTGGGTGGAAGGGTTCGCATGATGATAATCTTCTTGATGATCTTCTCCAGCAGATAGTTGATGCACGAAATGCTAAATCCTTTCAAAAGCTTTTCGTAGCGGGCCCTGACCAGTGCGTTTATGTTGTAAACCGAGGTTCTCGAATTTGGACTAATGGCCGATGGTCGATACTTCATGGGCGACAACTTTGTGGTTCGGCGTTTACTTATCATCATAAACTGGATGTCGAAATTTTTCGTAGCGAACAAATCCTTTTTTGGTATCCAATCGTCTTCCGGCTCTTCGCTGCCTTCGTCGGATACACGCTCGAAGGGGGCCAGCAACGCCTTGAGATAGGCATCACGACAGAGATGCGACTCCGGCTCCGGCAGGGGAAAGAAATCCACCGGTGGAAATGCGTGCTTAAAACCCACTTGGGCCGGCGAAGACTTTGGTCGGCGATTCAATATAGTGGTCATAATGCACGTCCAGTTGGTCTCTATATATATATATATATCTGTATGGGTTTCGGTTCGAGTTATCGTTTTGGGGTAATGTTTTTTACTGGATTTAAAAGTGACCTATTTTAGATGTCAGCTCGCCAAGCTTGGGTTCGGAATTGTCATTTGGTTTCGAAATTATATTTGATCTCTCATTCCTTGTGAGAACATTCTCCACTTCACAATCAAAGTACACACAATTAGGAAAAATTTAACTAAAAATTTGAAGGCATAAAAAATCCTTTGCAAACCAAAATCTTTAGTCGAGCGAAATTAAATAATGTCAAGCCCTGCATTAGCCGTGGAGGAAGTACTCCGAGGGGATGTAGCAAAGGTAGGTGGCACATCATTTTCGAAGTAAAATCCTTTTCAGCAGTGAATCGACCCCAGGTACGTCCGGATAATGCCGTGATCCGCATTTCGCCCCGTCAGGCTGCGAATTTTCAGACTGTCGCAGCTCTGCCCAATCCACCGGCAGCTTTGATGGGACCACTCGCCCTGGACGGCTCTGTTCCTGTGTTGCTGCCAATCCTGGACTATGTGCGTCAGCTGCTGACCAATCCCTTTCCCCGAGAGCCCGAGTCCACGGATCTCAGGCTGGACATTGCCTCCCACAGGCAGCGACTGTATGAGAGCATCGTCGCCGTTGTGGGCATACTGCGGAACGTGATTGCGTCGATGGCACGGGATTTGCCCATGAGTCCGGATGATAGGAACAACTATCAGAGATTGCGCACACTGTACTTTTCGGCCTTCGAGATAGGGAACTCTCTTCGCCGGACGATGGATGCGGAGGGAATCGTTGCCTTTCCGACCACTAGCTTTTCGGTTTATACGTGGCCCCGCCACTATATTGTGGTAACACCTGGCACCAGCGCTCGCCATGCAAACTTCGGTGGCAGTTCCATGCCTTATCCGTGGCGGAATCCTTATCTCTTCACACCTCACCTGGGACCACATTACTTTGAGAGGGGCATGGGACACCGGGATGCACTCATGGAAACGGGGTACTGGGACGAAAACGATTATCCCGATGAGGCCTCAATTGACCCCCCTGCAAACGAGGAGAGGGAAGCCAGGAACAATGGTATTTGGGAGGAGGACGAAGACGACAATAATGATATTTTGGAAGAAGACGTAGATGATGATCCTCGACAAATGATCAACGAAAATATTTACCTCCGAGACAGCGAAGACCCATAACACTTTTTTCGATCCTGTTTAAATATATTGTAATGCTGTAAAGATTGCCCCAGTTTTTGCCAAGGTTTTTGTTTGAGTGTAGATTCCGTAACCCCATTGGCGAAAGAGCAGCGACAAACAAAACACTTGCATTCCCACAATTAGCATTGCATTCGCTGCAAGAAGCAACGGTAACTGCAGCTTCAGGCAGAACAGGAAAGGAAGGAAGAAGACTGGCTTTTTTTGCCGAAGCTCTTAATACACTTGCAGAGCTATCCAAAAATGTAAAAATATACATCTCAGAGTTGCATGCATCTCAAATACTAAGCAACTAATCTAATTAGAAGCTAATTTGCTTTCGATACGTTACCAACATTTGGTTCAATTCAAAATACCCTCTAGAAGTGTACAGCCCAACATGTAAATTACGGCCCGTGGCTGATGTCAGTCAATGTTAACATTGTGACAAAGCAGCTACAACAGAAGGAGCAGCGCTATTGACGTCGTCGTCAGTTAAGCAACTGTAAATTAAACAGTGACTGCACCGAAAAAGAGAGGGCAGCATAGTGCAGTGGGGGGAATGATCATCAAGACAATAAGTTAGCTGCAGGCAATAGTTCACTATATGAGTAAAGAGGTTCTTCAAAGTAAAATAAAAAATTACTGATGTGTGATTAACACAATTTCTTTTAAATTATTAATTACGCACAGCCACAGAGCCTACACAATATACCCCTCTGGAAGTTCATGTAAAGGGTAAGCAAACATGCATGTGGCATCATGAACTCCCACGCTCTCACACTCTCTCCCTCTCTTCACACGTACACACACACCAACACACACACGGGTTTGAGCAGCTCTTGCTTTCCCTTTACGTTTCTCTCGCGTTGGCTGCCAACACTGTGACGTAGGCTCCCCACACCAATCGACCTGCGTTGGGGCCGTTTCTCCCTCTCCCATTTTCTCTCTCTCACTCTTAAGCAGGCACAAACATGCACACTTGTGTCGTTTTCACTCGCTCGGTTGGCTGGCGGTGCTGTTCGCCTGCTGCGAGTCTCTGGCCGCCTGTTCCCTCGTATCGCGTAGAGGGACCTGCCTCAATGTTGCGCGTTCACTTTTAGGGAGCCTACACCGTAAAAATTAGCGCCGCTGTGGCGTTTTTTTTTTTTTTGTTGCTATTTCCATCCAAGCACCCCCTACTCTGAATTGGAGTTTGGGCACATCAGTTTGGTGGCCTGCAGAGGCGCCGCTTCGAGTTTTGGCGCCTGCGTGGAGTGCAACGGTTTTGCAGCTTTGTCGCTTGCAGCTTAGCGGGAACTATTTTTGATTTCGGACGGCTCTGTAGCTTTTGCAAATTTCTGAACGCTTGTTCGCAAAACCGCAGTCAGCGATGGCAATGCCAGCGGCAGCAGACGTAACGGTACATTGCCACCCGCCACGACGTTGCCAACGACGACGACGACGGTACCTATGGTCGCTATGGCCATCTGATAGACAGCTGTCTTATTGTCTACGGTTACGTCAGTCAAAATGACGCATCGTGTTTTGGTAACAGGAAAGCATAAAAATCCAGCCAGACAATGCGACGGCTGCGAATGCGGCTGGAGCGCGAAAGAAAAATCCCCACAAAACAAAAGAATAATAAAAAGCAAACACACAGCACAAAGAAACAGCAGCGCGTCACGACAAAAGCCACCCTCGCAACACACGACGTTTGCTGGTTTTTTTTGTTGCTGTTTTATTTTTCAAATTAGACAAAGTGCATGTCTGGTCTGGCTAAACTCTCCAAAAGAACACAACGGAAGACAGAGATAGAGAGTGAGAGAGAGAGGAGTAAAACACTTCACACTCCAGTCTAGTCAGCAGAAACCACGCTCAAAATCTTGCGCCCTATAAAACGCAACCATAAAAAGTTATCTTCGGGGCACGACATTTTAAATACCCTTGAAGGTGAAATCTTACTGCCCACTTCCGTTATACATAGAAATGATATTGAACTTCACAGCTCCTAGACGGAGTTGCTGTCTGCTATGCAGGGTCAAAAAGCCTTGTTCCCTGTATCGCAAACGTCTGCTCAAAGTAATAATACCATTTTAAAGGGTATGTAAACAACGACCCATGCCAGCATAAAACAATTCTTGCTGCTGCTTTCACACACACAAAAGACCAGACAGATACGAAAAAATCCAAAATAAACCAGCAGCGTCCAACTCTGTGCGCCTGCTGCTTTGCGGACAAAATTTGAGCAGATCCGCTCACAAAAAAAACGGCATTATGTACAAAAAACTATAAAATAGTGTTTGTGGTGGGGCTTTGTGGTGCGATTGAGGTTCCGTTCCGTAGGTTCCACAACCCAAAGCGTTCCAACGGCGCTGGACTGGGCTCCACAAGCGCTGGCTAGCCTGGCCTGGTCTTTGGGGCCGGAACATCATCCCATGCCACTTCCAATTGGAAATTTGCTCCCATGCGAGCACACACAAATCACATGGGAAAAGTCCCCAACTGGTATTTTAGAGCAGGCGCACAGCTTGTCCCAGCTGCAGTCTTCTCAAAGAGTTGGTTTTACTCAGATAAGAAGCCAAAGCCAATGACAAAAAAAAAAAAAAGCAGAACGAGATAAGCAGCAAAGAGTGAGAGCGGAGAGCAGCTAGCACTGACAGAAATGAGCAATGCACTCCCGCGGGCAAAAAGGTCACACTAATCGATCGAGTGGGGGGAGATAAGACTGGAATGGAGGAGTTATATTAAATATTACCACTATGGTATGGTATTTCATCAAATCTGACGCTACTGTACATCGTACTCCCCCTGACATTTAATGACTTTCCCGATTGCTCCAAAAAATGTTTCATCAAAAATTATTCCACTTATCGCTTGTCAAACTTTTTTTTTATTAACTGATAATTATTTAGCGATATGGGGGAACTTTCTATATAAAGGCTTCAGCTTGGAGTGTTGCCCAGTCAGTCGCACGGCAATAGCAGCCAAGTATTCTACTTCTACTTATTTAGATCTCACGGTAAGAGTTGTATTAAAGAGAACAGAACGCGTAAGAGAACTAGAACGATCGCGAGAGCTTGCAATGAAAGCTTTAGTTTTTTGGCCCCACTAAAATGTTCAGTATAATTTTTTGACTGAACGTGTACGGTTTTTCAAGTGTAACTCAATTATTAAATATTTATTGGTGCTCTTGTGTTGGCAACATACAGTACTAAGAGAGTTTTAAAGAGTACAAGTTTGTTCTTAAATGACATTGGGAATATGAGCAGAGTAATTGATATCAACACGACCAAATGTTTCCACTGCCTCATAAACAACGAGAGAAAAAAGGCATCAAATTGTCAAACTGTTAAATGAGTTGTTGTGTCGTGGACAAACAATTAGAGGGGAACATATCTATTTGGTTGGAATTTCACCATAAATTTAGAGGAGGCTCAAGTTTTGTGAGATAGTGAGTGGAGGAACATAATTTAACCCCTTTGACTTTGGGGGGTGATATTTTTAGAAATCAAAACTAACACCTTTCTGATGGACATCTATTTGTCCCAATCAGCGTGACAATCATGGCATTTTTTTGTGCCAAAAATATGACAAAATCAGTAGATGGATTAAGAGAGAATTTATGTTAATGTTTTGGTATATTTTTATGAAACATTGGCATACCGCAAGGTACCATTACCAAACAATCGAGAGAGGTTACAAATTTCCTCCAGTCCCTTTCATACTCTGTTTAATAGTACCAGCCTGATAGTTTCCTGTCTCTAATTTTATGTTCTTAGAGTATTTTGTGTCAAACTTGAAATTTCAATTAGTATCAATCAATACTTTTCTGAGAACAACAAGCCAAGCTCTCATCACCAGAAAGATGTTAATGTTTATTATGAATAACTAAAGCCAAAAAAAGCTGCAAAATAATATTCCCTTCTTTAAAAGTTTATTTTAAGCTAAAGTGGTTCCTTTCTCAATCCAGATATTCGCAAAGGCATTCTCTCGCTTTATTCTCATTCATTCTTGCCCAAACAAAAACCTGTTGCTTGTCTTATACCCTGTAGAAGAGAAATTCATCCACAGAACAGCTGCTCGGTAGCTTAAGCTTAGAGAGAGAGAGAGAGAAATCAGAATCAAAATGCTGAGCAGGTTGATTGGTGTATCAGCAACTATCATCAGCGGTAGATCTGGCAGCACTCTTCTGTCCAGAACTCGCTATAAGTCGGGGTGCGTATTGTGCCTGTTGATTAGTGTCTTTTCAAGACCGGCTCAGATCACACCGTTCAAGTGCTCGTTCTCGGCTTACCATGGCTTTCAAAGCTCAACTTTTACTCCCACTTCTGGTGGCCTTGTCAATAACCTGTAACAATGCTTCGTTTGTGCGCAGAGGCAAGAACCACACACAGACCATGTCGACGGGAAAGGCTTTCAAGGTGCTGGTTACCCATCCCGAGGTGCCGCAGGCGGGCATCGATCTGTTGAAAGAGAACTGCGAGATTATCCAAGTGGAGAGTTTGCCCACCAACCGGGCCGAGCTTCTGGAGAAGATCAGGGGCGTCGATGGTGTTCTCTGGGGCGGACATGAACCCCTCAATGCCGAGGTCCTGGATGCTGCCGGTCCCCAACTGAAATCCATCTCCACCATCTCGGCGGGCATCGACTATGTGGATGTGCCGGAAGTGAAGAAGCGCAAGATTCCCCTTGGACACACGCCAACGGTATTGAACACAGCTGTCGCTGATCTGGCTGTGGGTCTCCTGATCGCCGCTGGCCGTCGTTTCCATGAGGGACGCAGGAAGATCGAAACGTGAGTCCCACATATAGTCCCCTCCATTAGATCTTACTTTACGTTCCTACTTTCAATTTCAGCGACAACTGGGAGAACTACCATCTGAACTGGATGCTGGGTCAGGATATCCGTGACTCCACCGTTGGTTTCTTCGGGTTCGGAGGCATTGGCCAGGCCATTGCCAAGCGTCTGTCCGGTTTCGATATCAGCCAAGTGCTCTACACCACCCGACGACGTGTCCACAAGGAGATTGAGGAGGAGTTGAATGCCAAGAAGGTCGACTTTGACACCCTTCTGGCCCAAAGTGACTTTATTGTCATTGCCTCTCCCCTGACAGCTGACACGCAGGGCGTGTTCAATGCCACCGCCTTCAACAAAATGAAGCAGACCGCCGTTCTGGTCAACATTGGTCGCGGCAGTAAGTGCTCAGTAGATCTATCACCTAAGGAATTACATATATTTCACAATGTTTCTTCTCAATCTAGAAATCGTCAAACAGCATGATCTTTATTTGGCTCTAAAGTCCAACCGAATCTTTGCCGCTGGTCTGGATGTCACAGATCCCGAACCAATGCTTGCCACTGATAGACTTCTGGCTCTGGAGAACGTTGGTAAGTTGAGTAATGGAAATAATTTTGGGATTATTGATAGCAGTCGGTGGGTGTGACTGTGAGGTCCCCTGGCTGGGAAGTATTTCTGGCCTTGTTATCAGTACAGAGATTCCGTCTTATCTGTGCAAGTAGTTCACTGTGACTAAAGTATGTCGGAGGGATTTAATTCATACGTGGGTGACGGATTGGTAAGGTTTTATGAAGGTTATAAAAGAATCTTAAAGTGTGTTCCCAATCACAAGAAATAAAAGAAGTTTTGTAAGTCATTTGGGGTAGACAATTGTCAAGCTGTTGCCAGAAATATGCGAACAAAACAAAGTCTCAGTATCAGTAAGCTATCTCTCAATTAAACCTCTATTATGTTGACTCGTTTGACCTTTCTTTAGTATTTTTGGAGCGTAATCTTGCCAATTACTTGAGAAATTCAAAACAAAACAAAAAACTCTTATCTCTATGGCTAAATTCCTTATCTAAGAACGAACCTCTAACCACTTGACAATCTCCCTCTCTTTCTTACAGTTATCCTGCCCCACATTGGATCCGCCACGAATCGCACTCGTGCCGAAATGGCCACCATTGCCGCCCACAATGTGCTCCGTGGATTGGTTGGAGAGCCCATGCTGTCGCCCGCCTACTAGGAAATGCAAATGTTAATGGACCAAGGGAACCAGAGTGGATTGCCACTCTCAGTTAACGAAACCAGTCAAGTGTGAAAGGTTCCAGATGTGAGAATAAAAAATTATAATTAAAACAAAAACATCAATTAATAATGTGAAAAATGGCAACGGGCTAAAATTTAATTAAGAAATGTGAAAGGGAGGCTAGCATTGGTTTGCATGCCCATTAGAGATGTATCAGATGAATGAAATAGTGCTTCGATATCCACAGATGTTGGCAGAATTATGTAGAAATATCTTCAACTACAACTTGTAGGAATCTTGTTCTATCTTGAACAAAGAAAACTGAACATAGGGGACTAATTATAATACCCTCTGCACAAAGTTTATATATGTACTAAAAGAAAAAAACAAGCAGGGAGCTTAATGTGAGAGGCAAAACTATATTCCACAGAAAGCTTAAGAGCACTCAAAGTTTAAGAGCAAGAGGCAAACGGAGCTGAGTGCAAAAGCTTGCAAATTGTTTTGGGCTGGGTTGGGTTGTGGGAAAATTTTCCATTGAGCATTTCATTGCTGCCTCTGCCCCGCGCTAGTTCGTTGTCCATGTCGACTGTTCGCGCCGCCACCAGCGCCGCCTTTAAGGTGCTCATTTCGCATCCAAATGTGCCAGCGCCGGCCCTGGAACTGCTCCGATCCCGCGGGGCGGAGACCATAATCTGCCAGAGTGTGCCGCCATGCAGGGAGGAGATTCTACAGAAGTTGCCCGGCGTAGATGCGATCTATTGGGCCCACTATCAGCCACTGAATGCAGGCATACTGGACGCGGCTGGACCACAACTGCGGTGTGTCAGCACCATGTCATCGGGCATTGATTTTGTGGATGTGCCGGAAGTGAAGAAGCGCAAGATTCCCCTGGGTCACACTCCTGGCGTGGTGAAGAATTCGGTGGCGGATCTTTCCATTGGCCTGATGATTGCAGCGGGTCGGCACTTCCATGCCGGTCGCAATGATATCGAGAGGTGAGTGCAGATGCCGGTGAACAGCTGATTGAGCTTTGCACAAGCTTTTGGCTTAGCTTTTGTCATGGAAATCCACGTTGCAATTGGCCTGCCAACTTGATTCGATGATTTGAAATTATAATTTTGGAAATATTTAATATCTCCCTCAGTTCCCAATGGAAAACGGAGCTGATTGACTGGCGGATGGGCCAGGAGATACGCGACTCTGTCATCGGTTTCTTTGGCTTTGGCGGCATCAGTCAGGCCATTGCCAAGCGGCTCCAGTGCTGGGATGTGGCCAAAATCCTCTATCACACACGCACCCGCAAGGAGAACGAGGGGGAGTTCAACGCGGAACATGTACCCTTCGAGCGGCTGCTGCAGGAGAGCGACTTCCTGGTGGTTGCTGCACCACTCACGGACGAGACGCGCGGCAAATTCAATGCCAAAGCCTTTGCACTGATGAAGTCCAGCGCCGTGTTTGTAAATGTGGCCAGAGGGGGCGAGTACGGGGGTCTGAAAGATCATTATTTCAGTAATTTTAATTGCATTTTCTTAGGTCTCGTCATTCAAAGCGATCTGCACGAAGCTCTGACCAAGGGGCAGATCTTTGCAGCTGGCTTGGATGTCACCACACCTGAACCGTTGCCTGCTGATGATCCCATACTGAAGCTGCCCAATTGCGGTGAGATATAGTAAGATATATTCCAATATGGATTGTTCTATGTTCTATCTTTAATTTGAAGTTATACTGCCCCATTTGGGAACGCAAACAATGAAGACAACCATCGAAATGAGTCTGCTGGCGGCCAACAACATTATAAATGCCATTGAAGGAAAGCCCATGATTAGGCCTGCATATTGAAGGATTAAATTAACTAAGAAGGACTACGAAATTAAGTCGTCAGTTGAGACATTTTAAGAGGCAAATTGTAACCCAGAAATTGAGATATTTGAATACTGTACCAAGTACAAAGAACTTTTATCATATCAGATTTTGACAATCAAATAATAATATATGATGAACAAAATTCCGCTCAGCAGTAAGCAGTAAGGATTCTGCAAACTCCTCTAATAATCTTATTTATTCACTAGAATTTCCCTCCTTATCCACCAGAACATGGGGTAGATATAAAGGCTCCCACTCGTCCCGCTGCAGTGCCTTGAGGTACTTCCTACGCTCCTCCAGCACTTTCTGCAGCATATCCATGTTGGGCTCCTCTGCCTGATGCTTCTGGGCAATCTCCAGGGCTCGTCGCCAGTTGTGCATGCGCAGAGCCAGACCCACTGCCTGCTGATACTGGCGATTGTGCAGCAGAATCGTCTCCGCCTCGAGCATCCTGCCCAGCATCAGGGAGTTCTCGGCCATCTGCTCGGCACTGGACGGGGTCAAGGTCTTTAGGTGCTGCAGATAGCTGACCTTGTCGATCTGCAGGGCCGCAGAGTAGGCCTCCTCGCTGAGCTGCAACTGGTGCTTCCTGGTGGCCACGGCGGCCAGAGTGGCCCACAGACTCGAGTGCTGACCCATCCGACAGATCTTCAGGGCCTGCTGCCACTGACCCTCGATGAGGGTGCGATGCAGCACTTCACAGTAGATGCTGACGTTGACGGGTAGCAGGGCGCCGCCGCAACGAAATGTGACCACGGCATCCTCGAAGCTATCGATGGTTATGTGCTTGCCGAATTCCCTGAAATGAAACCCATAGGATTAGCTAGAGTTCAAAGTAATCCCCTCCACCTTACGCCGTATCCAGGGTAATTGTCGTCAGGGCAATAATTGTCGGATCGGAGGCTCCTTCGCCGGGGCAATACCAAATGCTGTAGCAGGAATCGTGCACCCCCACCAGAATATTTGTTTCGCTGGCCCACTTAATGGCCGTTAGCTGGGTTCCGATCTTGTAGATCTCATCCTGACGCTCTCCACTCAGATTGCGCGTCTCGCTGATGTACAGCTCCCGATTGGCATCAATGAAGGCCACAAACTGATCGTCCTGTGTGCCAGCGCGACAGGCGGCAATCTCCGCCAGCTGCTGCTTGGCCTTCAGCGAATGGGGATCGTACTGCCGCGATGCACCGGGCATCAGGTCAAACAGATGCAGCAGACTCGTGTCGGAGTTGTCGCGTATGGCGAGCACATCGAGGCCCAAGGACAGGGAGCGCCACGTCAGCAGCGGCAGCTGGGCCTGTGATCCAGGATAGCGAGGATTCAAGTGCAGGCGACCCGTATAGGTGTAGACCCAGATCGAAGAGGCGTCCAATACCATAAAGTATCTGAAAGTAAATACAGCATATTAAAAGGAACTGCAAGTAGATCCCTGAGGCAACAACAAACTTCTTTCCCACTTCGATGACTCGTGTGTCGTTCCTGCCATCGATGATGATCGGTGTATTGATGTACTTCTCGTTGTAGATATGCACCTGATGGGTGGTGGCTACTACTAAGTGCCCATAGCCCAGTGCAAAGTTGATTATCCGCTGGGGAAAGTCCAAAGCATCCTGACTGCCATTGGCAATGTCTCTCAGGACAATGGACTTGCGACTGGTGCTCGTTGCCTTGAGGTTCCTGGAGATGAGCTGCTGCTCCACAGCATGGGCTACAATCAGCTGACCCGTAGAGGTGCCACAGGCCACCTGAGTGCCATCCGCGGACCAGGCGAGTGTGAAAAAGGACCCCACACTGGGTGCTGTGAAGCGAGCGCTGTTGTAGGACCACTGAATAGGAGGCAAGAAGGATGTTTAGCTGTCTACCAAGAAGACTTTTCTGATGGATGAGACTCACCCCAGTGCTGTGGCAGAGCTTCAGCATATTAAAAGTGCCCACCAGCAGAAAGTCCTTTTCCGGATTGAAAGCTACGCTCGTGATGGCATACTCCTCCGCGGCGCTGGTGAAGAGATTTGCGCCCTGTGCATCCCAGATCTTAAAGCGAAAGTCCTCGCCCCCAGAGGCTATGATGTTGGATTGCGCGGACCAGCTCAAGGAGAGTACCAAGCCATCATGAGCACGCCACTAAAAGGGGGAGAATTAGGGTTAATTAGGATTAATGGGAGTTGGGAGCTATCCCTTCAGACATACCCTTATCGACTTGCTGTTGGCGGCCAGCGGTTTGATGGATATATGTCCGCCCTGGCAAAAGACAATCGAGGTGGAATTGGGCGCCCAGCGAGCACAGCGAATCGCCTCCTCGTTCTGTACGACCGTGGAGCGCAGCATGCCCGATCTTGACCAGATTTTTATGACACCATCCTCGCCTGCAGTAAGCAATCCAGCCCCATCGGGCGACCAGCGACCAGAACTGATGGCTGCTCCATGGGCAGAGATGCTCCGCTCCACACGCGCACTCTTGTTCAGGATGATGAATCGTCCATCGTTGCTGCAGATGAGCAGGGTATCGCTGCCCTTGCCACCGCCACTGCTGCGGCCCCCCAACAGCAGCCAGTGAAGATCAGTGGGCACAAAGTCATCCGGCAGTTTGGCCACTTCCACCGAATCCCGGCTCACGTCGCTCCACTTGAATATCTGATGGTCATCGCTGTGTAAGATTGCAAGAACATACATATATATGAGATAATTGAATAGTGGAAAATAATAGTTTTTTACCTAACAAAATAGATTTCCTCGTTGCTACTCCAGTCCACACAACTCAGGGGGTAATTGTTGGGCTGTGGAGTGCTCTCCGCCGCGTTCTCTGAAGCCTTTATGGAGCTCTTCTTGCAAAACCGCGTTCTTAACTTCATTTTGGAAACATTTGTAGTGACTGAAAATAGAAATTAAGCTTTGTTTTGGTAGTCTAGTCGAATGGTTGTCAGGGTGAATGTTTGTTGACGATTTTCGTTGCCATGGCAGCCCATGGTTCAGACACCGGCTGGTTTCTGCACACACTAAAGTAATTCTTTCCATAATTTCCCCAATTCCGCGCGATCTTTACGTGAATTTTAAATTTCCGTACGGTTCTGGCATTGGCTAAACGGCTGCGAAATATAATATTTCCCAAATGAATACGAACTTAAGTTTAATTTCCGATCTTTTCTCAGGCAATTCCAATCTCCATTGACGACAATAAATGAAATTACTAAAATTTTATATTTTCTTTAAAGATAATTTTTATTCACAGCCTAGATATTTACCCATTGATTTGTCGCACTATTTAATAATTTCCCCCCAAACTACAAATTTAGTCCCATAATTTATGTGGTTGTTGTATCGGTTAGATGGTTTCATTACTGACTAAAAGATTTCCTCTTGTGCCACCAACTTAATTTAATTATTTTGATGGACCGCTGAGATCATCGTTCGTATGGGTATTTAACTTCAATATTTCTTAATTGGTTTCATTTTTTACAGAGCCATGTAATTACCAAATTCCGTTTCCGCCGTTGCAAGATTTGCTGTAAGCAGATAAAGAGCTCCACTAGTGAGGGAATACCCGCGTTTTAGACGGCCAACCTGTAATTATGGTTTATTATTTAGCGAAGCAAGCGAAACTGTTTTCAGCGATAATCATTGTCATCGAGTGAGTCGCAGATGACATGGCAATTGTTTAGGCAAACAAGATTCGCCTTCTGACTGACGGAATCGCTAAATCGTGACCAGATCTGATTGAACACGGAGGGTAAATATCATCGTGATGGAGAGTGAAACTTTTAAGCCGCCCATAGAGCGCAAGAAACTTATTTTTGTACTAATTACTTCCTTTTTCTTTTAATTGCAGCCACTAAATGAGCTCCCAGCATAATGACCAACATAAAGTCTTGGTGTGCACAACTATACCTCAACCTTAATCGATTTCCAGGACAGTTGTCCTGCCGCGGGCTTCAATTATTTTCTAATTTGTTTGCAGTCATTAAAGGAAATTCATCAATAAATCGAATGAATCTGACTAATCATCGTACGACGCACCCCCAAGGGTTCACACACGTCACAGGCCCAGTGCATGTCCAATTTTCTTGCGTTTGCATATCTGCTGAGTCCCATCTATCTATCATGGGGTTGTCGGTTGTCTCTACCTTTTGTCTCTTTCCATGGAGTTTCTCCTTATCCAGACACGAGTTGGCATTCGAGTCGTAGTTGTAGGCGTAGTTTATTGGATTTACTTGACACAATTGACACATTTCTTGTACGTTGAACTTTTTACGTTCAATTTTCTTCTGAGGGAGTACGTTGACTTGGCTTGTGTGTTATTGGAGTTTGTTGTGGTATATGGGGCTGGATGTACTTATAAATTTATATATATATACTTATGCCTTGAATAGGAGAGTCTGAATCAGATATTTCCGTTTAATTTGCTAATTAGTTGGCTGGTCATTGAACTGGCTAGTCGTGGATTAGTCCCAAAATTGGAATTACACGAAAATTGTTCCATAATTCCATAATTAGAATATATGTATGTATATTGGGGGCAGAAGGCCTGGGTGCTCTCTTATTTTTCATGCATTCTGGCACTTGAATGAGGTGAGTCGCGGTTACAAAGGTCTATTCTCCTTCCAATCTGTGAGCAAACTGAAAACTCCACTTTTCGTCTTCTTCTTTTCGCTCACGCAATGCTCTTTAGCAATGCCCTTTCGATCCTCCTCCTACACACAACCGCGCCACACTCGGCTGAGACGACACTCTCTCGCGCTCAATCCTCGCTCTCAGCAGCAATGCCAAGAGAAGGAACCACGGATAAATTACTGCGTAGTTTCTGTTCTCCTTTATAGATATTGTTTCTTAATTCTATACATTTCTGTTTACCGTTTCATCATTTCTTATACATCTCCGATATATATTTATTGACGTTATTTATTTATTCATATCAGAATATCAGAATATCAGAATATCGTCGGCATGGCCTGATGGGCTGACCGGAAGGAACTAAATCTCGTTGGGTCGTACAAAATGGTACGATCTGGTACGACTATTCCACATTGTTAAGTTTGTTTTTTTGCCATGGACTGTCATCCTCTATGGATGTCCTATGGCCAAACGCCACCCAGTTCTGACTCTCATTGCTACTTATATTTACGTAATGGAATCAATCTGTAAATGATTAAGTTTTATTTCACATATTTAGCTCAAAACAGTTGACACTTTGGGTTGCTTGGTACTGAATTTACATTGGTTCTAGCTAAAAAAGAAGAAATTGTCGCTCTCTAAATTCTAGTAAATATTTTATGAGGTTTCTTCCTATTCATTTCTTGGGGAAAAACCAACTTTGCTCGAACTATTTTATGTTTAACCAACTCTCATAAATTCTGTTCTTGTCATAAATTTGTCGTAAAATATTTAAGACTCGGAAGACTAATCCAAAGCCAAAACCAACTTTATTAAAATCGAGGACACTCGCTCAAAAACAATCGCAGACACTAGAAGACAAAACACACTCAATCACTCTGCCACTCACACTCATTCGCACTCCCTTTCCCCCTGGTTTCAATTGAAAACGCATAAAGTAGTTGCAACAAATGTTGTGGCACCAGCACGCAGTGCCTCTCCATTCCACGCCCCTAAGCGAAGCGCGTTGCCCAAGTGCCAACATTGCATTTCCTTATCAGAGACTTGCACTTGATTAGACGACGGGCGACGTTGATGGCCAAATCGAACTCAGCATTCAATTGCTGGTGACGACTGTCTGCAGAGGAACGACCACAACGGTGACGATACGATGACGATAGAAACCACAACCACAGCCATTGAGCGGCAAATGGTGCGAAAAAACGCACTGGCTAACTGCACAGTGGGAACAATTGGGGAAACGTGGAACTTGTATGCTGGTTAGTTTTATCTTTAAATAAACTAATCTTAATTTCGAAAAAAAAGCATGAATATCGATTTTCCCAAGGCCAGAGAAGATATGCGTTAAAACATATGTTGGGAGTAATAAATAAATAAAATGTCACAGGGAGCAACCTATCCACCAATAGAACATTGACTGAATATGTCCCTTCTAATACTCTCGAAAATATTGCCAGTAATCATTTTATTACACGAGTTTTTGTATATGTATGTTGATGTATTTTAAATAAAATATTTGTTTCATGGTTGACACATTAATTTCACTGAAATCTCAAGGTACAGCCTTTGTGCAGAGCCGTTGTGCCTTAATCGAACTCACGCAAGCCACATAGAATATTTATATTATTATAATATCATCTAAGACCTGTAAAAATGCACTTAATTATCATCCTCGCCCCACTGTGTCGCCATTGAAACTGCAAGTGTTGGCGGGCCACCATTAAAAAAGTGCAGCCATATCGCCGAGCAGTAAGCTCGTAAACCCGACCCAGCCCCACGCTCGCGCCATGCAGCAGCTCCACTGAAATCCCCTCAGCCCAATCCCATATAGTCGCCACCCCCTTTGCCGCTCGCGTACTGCCAGTAGGTACTCTTCGATTGAATGCAACGCTTACCACTTCTCTCTTTCAACCAGCGACAACGACAACGACAACCGATTCGACGATCTCTCGCGCGGCCACTCGTGTGCGTTGGGGTTGGGTTCGTTTTGTTATTGTGCCTACTGTACACTGTACAGTTCAGCATTCAGTATTCAGTTCAGTTTTAGTTTCAGTTCGCATTCAGTTTGTCAACGCGTCGCATGCGTGTTCGTACGGGCAGTCCAGTCGCAGTCCCAGTCCCCCCATCGTCGCAGTAAATATTTTTTCGGGAAATTTCAACCCAAAACGAGCAGAAGAAGTGCCCCGTGCCAGAGTGCCAGAGTGTGTGAAGTGTACGAGCATATTACTGAAATATTCAGTTGCGAAATTTCCGCTGTGAAAAACATAAAAGAAAACTCACCCAGGAACATGCCGTCCTACGGTTCAACAGGCTGCCTGATGCTGGCTCTACTCTCCCTGCTGCTGTGCCTCAACGCAGGTGGGTCTCAGTCGCACTCCTTTCGGTTCAGAATACTGACTCCTAGATTTCCTGGTTTTGCATGAAACGGCAGCTAATTAAGTGGAGTCTGAGGGTGGTGCTATAGAGAGTTAAGTGCGTGGTCGTGAGTTTCCATTTAAATGTGCAACAAGAAGCTAAACTCGAGTTCGCTGAACCATCAACGACGAAAGGGGTTCCGCAAAAGGGGTGCCGGAAAATCAAAAGGCACTGGCTTAAAGCGAAACTTTTTCATGATTAAAGTCTTAGGGAGCTGATTAAAAATAAGCAAAATAATTAAAAGGGGAATTTTTTCATTGTTTAAAGTCTGAGAAATGTTCAAGCAAATACATATATACGTATTGAAGCGCATGCTCTAAAGGTCATTTAGTCCAGCTTAATTATAAAGAAAATAATCGTGAAAATGTAAACACAATCAATTATTTTTCTCGAACTGACCTCATTGATAAGATGAATGCCATCGGTCTGCACTCCATGCATTATTATGGCAAATGGCTTGACAGGCTCAATAAGCACCAAGACAGTACCTGAAATCTCGCACAGATTCATGGGTGATTTATGAGTATTACTCTCAATGCATTGCACTGCACTTGTACGATATATTATTGCCGCTGCTCATTTGTGTTTATTTTTACTTCAAACGTTCGACGTTCAGCACAAATATTTCCACAACCTTAAAAACTTAAAAATAACACAAATATTATAAATAGCCAGGAAAAACAGCGAAAACGTAAATGGAAAAGAGGTGGAACTGGGAAATATTTCTTAGTTGATGTATTCTTCTGTTTCTTTATGACCCAAAATGGCTCACTCAACAAAATGTTTGCCAAGCAAACCAATTGAAGGCCTAGAAAAGAAACTTTGTTGAAGTTCCCTCAATGTGGATTTGTGGATATGCGTGCCACATATCGGGGCATGTCATCAACTAAGAGTTTATTTGTGTTTATGCTGCAGGGGCGTGCCGCAACTAGGCGTAGCAACTGTCAACTTGGAGTGGCATAAGCTGGAGTCTACGTCCACTCATGCTACTCCACCGTATAAAGTGACAAAATAGTAGACCCAAAAGGTGGATGATTTTATTGAGGGCAATCCCGAAGCGTGCAATCATCCCACATACTGCAATGAAGGCGGAAGGATAAGTATTACTCGGGCACTCAGGCGACAACCATAAAAAGAGGCAGACTAGGAGAGGACCAGAAAGATTTTAGATAGAATTGTTGCTGATGTTTCCACTCGTGCAAGTAATAAGGTGTAAAGTTCCTGTACATGCGAAGTGATGACACAGGAGATCCCAAAGATATTAACGAATTTAGAACTCATGCAAGCACCATAAAAAGTGACTCAACTTGCCCATTAGGTTATAGTATACCTGCGAGCATGATGCATGTAATACATGAATGAAAATTGTAAAAACTTAACAAGGCACGTAATTAACATATTCCAAAAAACATGAAATTATTTATACAGCTTCGTACAACTCATCTGTGTGTCAGAGTCAGCGTCAGACCCGATGAGGCATCTTCGCCCTTAGCCTTCAGATCATTCAGATGAAATCTTCTCAATTAATAATTCGCTGCGCTGCTGTTTTCGTTGCCTAATTAAATTCATTCAGTCAGCTGTTGCTGATTCAGTGCAATTCACTTGCCATCTTTACTATATGTACGACAATAATAAAACTGAACTGAAAACTGAAATCCCGCCGAAAGCACACACCCACAATAATATTTAGAGAGCATGAGAAAATGTAAGACTTTTCTGTGTATTTTATCCATTAAAATAAACTTATTTTGTAGTTGAAACTGCACGTAGAAAGGCAATGCAAAAGTTTACTTTTGATTTGTAATCGTAAGATATACACTCGTATTTGTATATGCGATTTCTTATGGGATTGGCTGCAACTTATGGGTGTGCTTTCGTAGGGTATTCGATTGCGTAAAGGGGTTCGGGAATTTCACAGAAATAGTAGGCATAAAAACCACCAAGCCATGGAATTTTGATTACTTAACGTAAGTACTAAGGCAGCTCAGGGAACTCAGGAAGCTCGAGGAATTTCAAATTGCTTTTTCTGATAGGAGTTGTTGGAATGTAAGGGTGTACCTTGGTAGGGTAATCGTTTACTTGAGAACGTAGTTGGCTACAAGGGAGGGATGGAATTCGAAAGGTATTGGCTTTGGTTTTGGCTTTGGGGTACCCATGGAGAGGTTGGAGTTCCAAAATAAATTTATTTAGGAGTACTTGAGTCAGTGCCCACCAGATTTCTCAGGGTAACAAAAACGAAGCTCTATTATTTGTTAAGCATTATAATCGTTAGACCTCTGACATACCAACTCATTTGCATAGGCATTCTCCTATTCTCTTCTCAAAACCAACACTCCTCTCTAGCCACCTAATTATTGAGGCATTCAGGCCAATTGGGAAACAATTTTGATAAACGTTCGACGAATTTTGCATTTGGTATTTGGCATTTTGCTGGCAGTTGAATGAACTTTGGTTGCATGTCAGTCACAGTCACAGGCAAAGCGAAACTTTCTGTCAAACCTGCTGCTCGCCCACCGCCTCCCCCTTAATCTCTATTGCATTTTAGGGCCACAAAGTTTTAGCTTCCATCCACCATCCACACACCACGCACACCGTACCGTACCCCGTACCCCGTTCCCCACTATCCAATCCTCCTATCCACACACTCGTAAGTTGGCAAGTTTAATGGGAAATACGCAGATATGGAGCAGCAGTTGCACTTTGGAAGAGTTTTGTTTCGAATGGGGTTAGAGCGGGGAGCCCCTGATAATCGACATGCTTCTTCGGGGGGCAGAGTCGTAGGGTTTGTGGATTTATGTATTATAGATGTACCGCGGCAGATCCCAAATGTTGCAAGTCCGACTCCACTCTGTTGTCACTTGCCTCAAGTTTTTGCTGCCTAATGGAAAAATTGCATGTGAACGCCAGCAGATGTGTGGGAAACTTTTTTCGCCTGCCCCATTGTGGCATGCACTTGTGTCTGTGGCATATACGGCAATAGGCAATACCATATGCAGATATGGCAGCAGCGAGGGCGAGGGCGAGGGCAATAAACTCCAGCGTTGGCTTAGGCGCAGTTTTGTTGTGGCTTACGCAGAGCTAATGAACCTCAGATGGGGGTAAGAAAATTACCCAGAAAGGAAATGCGGGGTAAATAAATGGATTGGAGGGACAAACTCCATGTGTGGCATGTGGCAGTAGTGCACAGGAATGAAGGGTTAAGTGAACATATTTCTGGAAACCTCAAGCTAAGTATAGTTACGAGTTTGCGAGTTGGGGTTGAGGAATAAGTTCATAAATAAATGCAATAAGGGTGGGAACAATATGTAGAAAAGTAAAGGAAACCTTCGAGTAAATGTAAGGTAAAGTAAACTTACACCTGGAATGATTAATTATGGTACGAAAGTGTAGGCAAAAAAATTGTTGACATTTTTGTTTCCTTATTACTTTTGTTCTTCCTTTACTTCTAAGCGTAGAAGAAGAACAATAATAGTTGGAGGATCAATAGAATCCAATGTAAGACAAGCTCATAAAATACTTCGAAGGGAGGGGAGGATGGGGAAATATTTAGGAAAAATAAATAATAAACGAAAATAATAATAGATTGAAATATGCAGATAATCAAATCTAGACGGGGAGAAATAATGACAGAAATATTGGGAGCTGAGAAGAACATACAAGTTTTGAGCATAATTAGTCTCCTTTATAAAAGAAGACAGTATCATTGAATAGGATCTTGGAAAAACTTCAATAAGATTAATGCTAGATGCTAGTAAATATCTTTACGATTCACGCACCTTTCCATACGCATTTGCAGCTTACATACATATGTGTTTAATATTATGTAATTTATCATTCACCCTCCGCAAGTTTTTCGCAAGTTATTCGCAGCTAACGATTTCGCGTGGTTGAATGGAAATGTATAGGTAAGATCTGTCCCCAAAGGCCCCCCGCTCCGCACCCCTCTGCACCGCTCCACTCACTTTTCCATCGATGATTAGAGGCGAATTCCATTTGCCAAAAGTATCGGCGAAAACATCTCGTCCAACAAATACTTACGCACTTGCTAACTCGTATTCGGGGCCCCGAATGTCTCTGACCATTTTTGGGACGCAGTTGCCACAACTGCCACAACATTTGGCATAATGCAGCCACAGCACAACGGAGCTGCGGTGGCTGTGGTGGCAAGCATGCGAGTGGCAGCCACAATATCAATTTTCAGTTTCAATAGAATTACAGTCATTACCATTAGTAAACTGCCACTGGCCGTTTGCAATGGACGCGCAAATAAACAATTCTGCAAACGATCTGACAATTCAACTGTCAATTAATTTCAATATATTGTAAATGCTTATAATTTCCATGCAAAGAGACTTGGGCTTGGGTCTCTCCATTTCACAGTTTCGCCGTTTCGCAGTTTCACAGTTTCTCCATTTCTCAGTTGCTCAGCGTCTCAGTTTCTCGATTTCTTGGTTCTCGAACGCAAATTGTAATGTTTATGGCCAAATGCGGTCGGTCGGTTGGTCTCTGGCTGGCTGGCTAGCTGGCTGGCCAACAAACACGTTTCGGCCAAGTGCCAGTGCGTTGGCACACTTCTCCCCTGCGCTGCTTATCTAGGCTTTCGCCTAAACGCGCCTCAAAGTGTTGGTTAAGTGCATTTAACCCGAACGTTAACGTTTGACGTTTAAATTGGCCACAAAAACGAGTTTTATTGTCGCCATCATAGCCATCATAGCCATCATAGCCATCATAGCCATCATCATCGTCAGCCGTTCCACCGCCATCCTTCAAGCCCGCCAGAATCCATCGATCGCATGGATTAATCAAATTATTATTTACACACTCTTCGCGTAGTCTAATCGCCACGCATAAACCAGCCAATGGCCAGGTTTTTGACACTTTTATAAGGCAGTTTTCCCCATCGACTGTCGCATAAATAACTCCGCCGAAAGGCTCCCGTGCCTAATTAATTTCAGCTCGGCGATATTTCAAAGAGCTCTGCTCTCCGCCAGCGGCACACCGCACACACAGCAGGAAGCGCTTTCAAAGTTGCATTATGGATCGATTCGATTCGATTTGATTCGATTCATTAGTCGATCGTTGCGGGATCATCGTTATCGCTAGAATGGGAAAGCGAAAATTACTTACTCACTTTATGATGATTTGAATGACCAGAGACGCAGATATGAAGAGCTCTAACAAGTGTTTTCTAATGGGTTGGAGTGGGGCTTAAATAGATACGAAACTCATATTGCTATGGGCCAGGAATGGATGAATTCTTAGGCCTAAAGGCATATTCAGTCTGAGCATATTTTGAAGATTTGTTAAACTTAATTGTTGTTTCCAGTCTAGACTATAGAATCTTATTTGGGGTTATTTTTCTACTCTAAACTGTTGCGTGTACTTTGTTATATGTATTATTATTATTATAGGTGTCTTTATTTAGCTAGGCTCAAATCTTCCAGGGTAATCTCAGTATATTATTAACCTAATTTAATTTCTGATTGCTTGAAAAATAATTGGCTAATAGAGACCAAATAAAATATTTAAAAATTCCTTTATATTTCCATTATCTAATTTTAAATTCCTGTAATTACTTTTACTACTTCATTTTGTTGCAGCTTCTGGAGTTCTTCGCTGCTGGCGTTGCTCGACGGACGTCTCGAATGGGGAGTTCTGCAACGATCCCTTCCAGCCGGACAGCATCTCGGAGCAGCAGCGCTACTGGAGCTACGTGAACTGCACCTACTCGGTGGGTGTGAAGTCGGTGAATGCGCGTCCCGTGTGCAAGAAACTGGTGCAGGAAGGTGAGATCAAAGACCCACACTAGACCCTCCGAGCACCCACAGCACCCCTCCCAGGCATGTCCAATTATTCAGCCCGCTGCATTGTTGTGACCGCATGTGCGGTCTTTGGACAGCTTTGGAGATTATGAGATTGAGAGATCGGGAGGGAGAGGCACACCCCCACCGCTCTCCCTCACATGCGGCTGACACCCGGCTGTGGGACTGGGACACTGCCACAAGAGACTCAAACGAGATTGAAATTTATTGCCTCGACAAAGTCCAAACAAGTGCAACAACCAGCGGACAATTGCAGCCGCAGCTGCCACACTGGCTGGGCGTTGATCGGGGGCGTGGCAAGTGGCAGGGGCAAGGCACATATCGGTACGGTGCGGTGCGGTGTGGTGCGGTGTAGTGCGACAGCCAACAAGTGGCGACACTTTGGCCCGCAGAGTTGCATGTGCCGCTAATTTACGGCAAATTTATGGGGAGACCAGCACACGCGGCGTATGAGTGATATTTGTGGCGATCTTAAGCTCGATTCGGATTCGGCTGCATATTGTTGCTAGGCTTGTTTTATTGTTGCCCTGTGGCCAGAGCAAATTGTGCATTTGCATACGACAAGCCACAGAAAGAGCCGACAAAACCAAATCAAGATAGGACTGATAGACATTACGGCGAACGACGATTTGAATACCCTTGAAACATTCATTGTTTTTGTTGGCAATTTTATGACTGTTGAACTGGGGATTCTCCGCAGCGATTCAGCTAGAAATCTTTAAAGCTGAGGAACTATTTTTCATACACAAGCCGAAACACAGAGAGGAGCCTTTTATTTGTGATATCTACTCAAGCCCGTAATACCCTCTGTGCCAGGGCACAACATAACTAAACTGAAAATTGAAATTAAAATGGAAATGGAAATCCGCACTGTTTGTCCAATTTGCCAAGCGATCCGTATCGTTGCATTTTGATCTGAATTCGCTTTTGGGGCCTATCCCCGTCATCATCATCATCATCATCATCATCAGCATTCACCTGGTCGCGACAGCCGGTGGCACATAAATTAGTCAAAAGCAGACGAGTCGGGCTTGGCCAATAGGCATACGTAATGTGGGTCGACAAGCCGAACAATGAAATGCGAAAAAATGTTAACATTTAATGATGTAATAACAATTTGCTGCCTTTATGGCATTCAAATAAACAATAGAAAAAAATAAAATAAAATAAAATAAACAAAGCAAAAAAAACAATTTAGTTGCAAAAAAGTAATACAATATAATTGAAGTCTAGCTTATAATTTAATAAATCTAAATAAAAGTCGCTCCAAGTAAAGTTGCCCATAAATCGAAGTCAGTTTTTGGTGCCTTTTAGGGCATTTGACAAATCAATTAAAATCCATTTTATGTATTTAAATAGCGATGATGAGCGGATGTATAAATCTGTTTTAGTTTGGGTATAAATTTATGGATATTTTGACAAATCTGTTTGGACTGCTGCTCTATATTTGTATAGAAGTATGATGTATGATTTATTACAATAAATACATACATATATGCACATTTAAGTCGAGCCTAGAAATGATCATAAATTAAAGCCAAATTGGGTTCTACGTTTATGGATATTTATTTATCTTTATTAAGTTGCATTAAATATTTTAAATTGGATTTAATTGGAGGCATTAATTGATTGCATTTCGACTTTTTTATGTAGTTCCCTTAAATGATCATCCACCCACTGGAATATCTTCCATTTATGTACGAGTAGTACCAATTATTTCTGCATTTTAAATGTCCAAAAAGCGTTTAGCCATCAGCGATCTATCCATAAGCATGACAGCATCAACAACAACATCCACAAGAGCAACAACAACGAAAACAACAGCAACCAGTGCAGGGGCAGGGATTTCTCGGACAACATTTAAGCAATTTCTTATGGCCAATTAATGAACACCATTAAATTTTTGCAATCAAGCGTCTACAAATTGGCTCGGCGAATATTTGCAAGATTTTCAGTTGGCAGTTGGCAATTAAAATCGCAATTGCAGACACTCGACTGCATTTGAAGCTCTACAACTGCGAGTATGAGGCTGTCTCTGAGCCTGAGTCTGAGTCTCAGTCTCATTCCCCCAAAAACTGAAACATGAGCAGCGCTTGTAATGCGCAAAATACATAATATACGATCGGAACGGAACGGAACACGGACTCGGGGCACGCGGGGGCTAAAGAGACATCGGAAAAAATACATATAAATTAATTAAGTTGTTGCACAGCGTGAAGCGCTCAATTACGGGCCATAAGAAGACGGACGCGGCAGCAGAATGTCTGAGAAAAATGCAACTAGGCGATGCAACATGTTGTTGCAGCTACGAGTATCTGCCAGCGGTGTGGTGTTGTTGCCGTCTCCGATCAATTTATATGCCGTTAAATTAATTGCCTTTGCAGCCTTTAGCCTAGACGAGTGGCAAAGTTTTTGGCCAAATGTCAAATTAAAAATGTATTCCATAATTTTTGCCCGCCCCGTCAGTATTTCCAAAAGCCAAAAATCTGAAGCCAAGCAATTAGCTGCAGGCTGTTGCACGGTGTGTGTGTGTGTGTGCATGTGTGTATCTACTGTACCAGTTGTCTGTCACTCGGTAAATATTTTGCAACTTGTTGCATTCGCTTCAACAGCCAAAAAGTTGATGGCTAGCAGGCAACCATTTTTGGCCACTAACAGCTTATTTCATGCACTTTTCTCTGGGGAATTTTAACAGCCAAAAGGGAGTGATATTTACGATCAAGAGTCTGATATAAATGTTTTTTCTGATGTGTTTGTTAAATAGAGTTTTGAAATGGGAATTTCTAAAGATTCGAAATATTTTATTGCTTGATTTTTCGCAATATTTTTCCTACACGTTCCACTGTAGATAATTCCCCATAATGTTTACTGCTCGTGAGTGTATACAAAGTTCGTTGCAAGCCGCTTCTGTCTTTTCTTTTTGTCTCTTATTTTTGTTTTTAGTTTTTTTCGTTATTTTTTTTTTTATAAAAAATCCACAACAAGCCATAAATAATTAAATTAATTAAAATTTAAATTTATGACACTGTGTGTGCGGCAAACAATTTCCAGCATTTTTGTCAAGTTGACTTTTTGTTTGTTTGTTTTGTGTCAAGCGAAGCACGCGGCGTATGCGCAATGCGTACCGTCCCGTACCTCTGTGCGTATGGGCCGCTGCTGCATTCTGCGAGCCTTGTTTGATGCCGCGACCATGATAAGGCGACAATTGTCAACAATTTTATTAAGCTGAAACAGGCGTCTGTGCACGTATGTACGTGTGCATTTGCTTTCATGGCCCACTGTCCCTGGGTCCGTCCGCATCCGAGTCTGAGCCAATCACAAAAATGGTCAACGTTGTGTGACCATTTCGAGCGGCTTTAAAACTTCGATTTTGCTTTATTTCATTTGAAATGTTTTCAGTATTTCTGTCGTTTTGTTCTATTTGCACCACAGACATACATACAGACACATACATAAGTCTGTGCCTCACACGCAATGAGAAACGCAATTTGTTGTGAACTTTTTGTTTTGTTGTTGTGTTGCTGTGTGTGATTTGCTCTTTCTGGTTTTCATTTGCTGTTTGATTGCAAATTGTCTCGTTGTGCCGAGTTTCACGTTCGGTTCTTTTTTTTTTTGGCAAATCGTGTGCGTTTCGCAGGCCGCTGGAACCTCTAGACATAGACACAGACACAGGCCTCATTTGTGCCACGTTGGAGCCGCAGTTTTTCTGTGGCAACCCCAAGCATATGGTGAGCCTTGAACCTATTACGCGCGGGTTGGAGTACGTTTGAGATAAGCCATCGAAGAGGCCAGATCAAATTACTTTCTTTGGGTGAAGGTGCACGGGTTATGGAATTTACAGACTCCAATTGGACGATGCTTTTACTCCAGGGACCAGTACAGAAAGCTGCAGCAGGGAACTTCTGCCTGTACAGTGATGCATAGATAAAACTTATGAACAGACACTTAATCTACAAAGTACATAATGTAGCTCTCACTAATGACATTTTTGGAGGATAATTTCAAAAGCCAAAGCACCCCCCACGACAGTTTTTGACTTGCTTGCATCAGCCGACCCGTACTATTCATCATTCCCTGGCACTTATCCAGCACAATGACCACATCGGAGCAGGCCCCAACTGCCACTTGCCGCGTGGCCATTTCAAATGTCATTTTTGAGATTTTTTCATGGTTCGAGCAGAAACCAGAATGTCGGGCAGAGAGCCTCAAGCCCACGCGAGGCACGTACACATAAATTTAATTTAATGCGCAGACAGCCGCCCCCTCCCCTCCCCTACAACACGCACCCCCTTACCCAGGGCGGAAATTAATTAAAAAATTGTTTAATGAAAATATTTAAACTCTGCTCTGTTCATTTTGCAGTTTACGGCAAGCGGGTGATTTCGCGTTCCTGTTTTTATGAGGATATGGACGATCCGGCAGACAAGTGCGCCATGGACCAGACCTCGTCCTACATCAAGACCGTCTACTGCCGCACCTGCACCACGGACGGCTGCAATGGATCTGGTGGCATATCGCCGCTGATGGCTCTGCTGCTGCTGCCCCTGCTGGCGGCCCTGAGGCAGCTATGCAAATGAGCCCCAGGACTCCAGGGGGGTCGCTCTTAATTACGGATGTGCAAACTGAATTGAAGCCATTACAAGATTTTCGGCGCGTTTTGCACATTTGGGCTGCCCCGGAATTAAGGAAATTGAATTTCTTCATCGAGTTTTATAGTCACTATGCCACATGCCACATGCCACACACAGATTCACAAAATGCACGCAAACGTAGAGGGGTAGAGATGTATATCTGTATCTCCAGCACATCGAGCCACATTTGACGTCATCATCGAGGACTGCATCATGCACAATACATGTCACTTGGTCACCCTCTCAATCAATCAATCAATCAATCCAACAAGCAATCAGCTAATCGTAGTCCCAACTATTGTACACACCTCGAATCACATCATACAACACACTCGATCACACACACACACACACACACACACACACTTAACTTTGTTGTAATTTGTATGTATGTACATCTTTGTAATACCTTTAATATTGTATTTGTAATTGAAAACGGAAAACGCGCGCACACGCACCCGTCACGCGGTTTGTGTGTGTGTGTGTCACGTAAACAAAATAAAATAAACCGTAATTAGATGGTACGAAAATTAAGCATTTTCTATGGGATTTTTGGAGTGTTTGAATGGTTTTTCAGAGTGGTATTGGATGCCCTAGGACGTATGCCGCATGTCAGATATTCTCATCTGTGGCATGTGTCCTCTTATGCAACTCTTTTAGAGTCCCTGTCACTAAACTGAATCCGAAGAACATCCGTTTCTATTCCTTTTGTGGCTATCTGTCTGTAAATAATCAAAAGATCTCGATTCCAACAAATATGTTATTATCATGGAGCATAAGACACTCAACACTACCACATCATAAGCATTAGTTCGATCAAGTACGTAAGACTCTCACTTGATTTGAGCTGTAGAATCTGTAAAGGCAATGCCAAATTCAGTGTCTCGTATGCTACGCTTTTAATATCAGTTTATTCACAAGTATACCAAAATTTGGAACCGGACCAACCTCCTCATACTCCTCCTTAAATATCCACATCTGTTTAAACGCGGGCAACGAGCTGTGGACAGATCCACCCATCCAGGAAGCGAACTGACGATGGGGTGGTGCCATAATCCTGACCCTCATATTGCAGCGAGCTAGTCCGGCGATCTCCAGCTTCAGGCGCTCGGCAAAGCAAGGAAGCTTCGTGGTGCCCCCCGACACCATGATGTTGTAGACCATTTCTCGCCGGACGTTCTCGTCGCACTTATTGATGGAGTCGCAGACACTTTGCTGAAGGCCCACGGGAGCTCTGCCCAGGACGGTGGGGTCAAACAGTGCTTCCGGGCACCGGATGCTCAGGTCGGCAATGGAAATTACTTGTCCCTCTGGCAGAGTGTACTTTTTCTCCAGTTGGGTGCTGAATTCCTCTAGCTCCTGCTGAAAGTCCCTGGCCACGAAGCACAGCTTTTCCTTCATGTCACGCACAATTCCACGCTCGGACAGGCAGATGAAGGAATAGCTGTAGCCCCTCTCCGTCAGTAGCTTCATGAGGTACTCCGTGAGATCGCGCCCGGCCCAGTCTAGAACCCCTATGGCACGGGGCTGGGCATAGCCTTCGTAAATGGGAACGGCATGGGAGTACCCGTCGCCAGCGTCCAGAACGATTCCTGTGGAGCAACCCGAGGAGCAACCCGAGGCCAACACCTGCTGGCTGGCCACATACATGGCCGGCACTTCCAATGTTTCAAACATGATTTGAGTGGCCTTCTCGCGATGGCGCATGGTGGTCCTGGGCGCCTCCGTCAGCAGAAGGGGATAGTCCGTGGGAGAAATGCGCAGCTCATTGTGGAGCGCATGATGCCAGACCTTCTCAGATCCTTCCCAGTCGGTGCTGAGGCTGAATGGGATAACTCAGTTTCAGCACAGCGCGCTTGGAGTGGGCCAGGTCCCCCACGTACGTGTCCTGCAGGCCCTGGCGAGGAGTGCCGACCACCGTGGGGAAATTCATTCGAGGCGTTTGATCACCGGAAAATCCGACTTTGCACACGCCAGATCCGCAATCGAGGACCACGGTCGAAACATCGTCGTCACACATGGTGTTGCAGATTTATCATTAGATTTCTATTTAAGAGCAGAAGGAGGAGGAGGAGTTGGTTAAATACAAAATTTTTCGTGAACATTATCTTTGTTAGACAATCAATCGGAGAGGAAAGAAAGGTACCCAGCATTCACAGCTCACATCTTTTGGCCAATCCTTGGCGTAACCTTGCAGACTATCAGGATGGAGGTGTATGCATCCTCCCTGTGCACCCAAAGACTAAAGCTTCGCTCTTTTTATACCCGTACTCAAAAAAGAGTTAAGGGGTATATTAGATTTGTGGTAAAAGTGGATGTGTGCAACGCAGAGAAGGAAACGTTTCCGACCCCATAAAGTATATATATTCTTGATCAGCATCAATAGCCGAGTCTATATAGCCATGTCCGTCTGTCCGTCTGTCCGTCTGTCCGTCTGTCCGTCAGTCCGTCTTGATGAGCGCCTGGATCTCAGAGACTATAAGAGCTAGAGAAACCAAATTTGGTTTCCAGACTCATGTGATATCACACTGCTACAACTGTATTTCAAAATTTGGCCCGGCCCGTTCGGCCCACACAAAGGACGAAAATCTGTGGAAGGCACAGTTTTAAAGATACGATAAAACTAAAAACGCAGTATCGTAGAAAATGGCCATATCTACCAGATTGCCGAATCTGAATCAGATCGGATCATAATTATAGCCAGAATGAAGAAATTAATTTTCAGTTGCTTCCCCTCCCCCTCCCGCCCACGACAACGCATCTCATTTTCGTTCTCGCTCGCACATTCTGCCGCGTTCAGTGCGCGAGCAACCCCTAGCGGAGGAGATGTAGAATCTAATTGGACAATGTAAAATCTACATGTTAGATGTAGAATATACATTGTATATGTAGATGTAGATATCATATGTAGCAAAAAAATGTAAAATGTAAAATTTTTTTTTTTTTCTAAAATTCTTAAAAATCATAAGCTCAAAAATGTATATACTGACTGAGTACGGGTATAAGTAGAGTCGCGTCCCCAGAAGCGACTCACACGTTCCTTCTCGTTGGTTTTTGGTTTTTGGTTTTCATGCTGGACAGGAGGGAGTGGAAAGGCACTTCTCGCAATGAAAGAAAGCGAGTAAAATTAGAAAAAATAAAATTTGTAGCAACTTTTTGCCATACGAGTGTTTACATAACATAGATTTTGACATATCCTGACATATAGGATACGACCATAACTCATTTAATATTATTATGGTTCTGTGATCTACCTACCTACCTACCTACCACACACACACACACAAACACACACACTTAACTTTGTTGTAATTTGTATGTATGTACATCTTTGTAATACCTTTAATATTGTATTTGTAATTGAAAACGGAAAACGCGCGCACACGCACCCGTCACGCGGTTTGTGTGTGTGTGTGTCACGTAAACAAAATAAAATAAACCGTAATTAGATGGTACGAAAATTAAGCATTTTCTATGGGATTTTTGGAGTGTTTGAATGGTTTTTCAGAGTGGTATTGGATGCCCTAGGACGTATGCCGCATGTCAGATATTCTCATCTGTGGCGTGTGTCCTCTTATGCAACTCTTTTAGAGTCCCTGTCACTAAACTGAATCCGAAGAACATCCGTTTCTATTCCTTTTGTGGCTATCTGTCTGTAAATAATCAAAAGATCTCGATTCCAACAAATATGTTATTATCATGGAGCATAAGACACTCAACACTACCACATCATAAGCATTAGTTCGATCAAGTACGTAAGACTCTCACTTGATTTGAGCTGTAGAATCTGTAAAGGCAATGCCAAATTCAGTGTCTCGTATGCTACGCTTTTAATATCAGTTTATTCACAAGTATACCAAAATTTGGAACCGGACCAACCTCCTCATACTCCTCCTTAAATATCCACATCTGTTTAAACGCGGGCAACGAGCTGTGGACAGATCCACCCATCCAGGAAGCGAACTGACGATGGGGTGGTGCCATAATCCTGACCCTCATATTGCAGCGAGCTAGTCCGGCGATCTCCAGCTTCAGGCGCTCGGCAAAGCAAGGAAGCTTCGTGGTGCCCCCCGACACCATGATGTTGTAGACCATTTCTCGCCGGACGTTCTCGTCGCACTTATTGATGGAGTCGCAGACACTTTGCTGAAGGCCCACGGGAGCTCTGCCCAGGACGGTGGGGTCAAACAGTGCTTCCGGGCACCGGATGCTCAGGTCGGCAATGGAAATTACTTGTCCCTCTGGCAGAGTGTACTTTTTCTCCAGTTGGGTGCTGAATTCCTCTAGCTCCTGCTGAAAGTCCCTGGCCACGAAGCACAGCTTTTCCTTCATGTCACGCACAATTCCACGCTCGGACAGGCAGATGAAGGAATAGCTGTAGCCCCTCTCCGTCAGTAGCTTCATGAGGTACTCCGTGAGATCGCGCCCGGCCCAGTCTAGAACCCCTATGGCACGGGGCTGGGCATAGCCTTCGTAAATGGGAACGGCATGGGAGTACCCGTCGCCAGCGTCCAGAACGATTCCTGTGGAGCAACCCGAGGAGCAACCCGAGGCCAGCACCTGCTGGCTGGCCACATACATGGCCGGCACTTCCAATGTTTCAAACATGATTTGAGTGGCCTTCTCGCGATGGCGCATAGTGGTCCTGGGCGCCTCCGTCAGCAGAAGGGGATAGTCCGTGGGAGAAATGCGCAGCTCATTGTGGAGCGCATGATGCCAGACCTTCTCAGATCCTTCCCAGTCGGTGCTGAGGCTGAATGGGATAACTCAGTTTCAGCACAGCGCGCTTGGAGTGGGCCAGGTCCCCCACGTACGTGTCCTGCAGGCCCTGGCGAGGAGTGCCGACCACCGTGGGGAAATTCATTCGAGGCGTTTGATCACCGGAAAATCCGACTTTGCACACGCCAGATCCGCAATCGAGGACCACGGTCGAAACATCGTCGTCACACATCGTGTTGCAGATTTATCATTAGATTTCTATTTAAGAGCAGAAGGAGGAGGAGGAGTTGGTTAAATACAAAATTTTTCGTGAACATTATCTTTGTTAGACAATCAATCGGAGAGGAAAGAAAGGTACCCAGCATTCACAGCTCACATCTTTTGGCCAATCCTTGGCGTAACCTTGCAGACTATCAGGATGGAGGTGTATGCATCCTCCCTGTGCACCCCAAAGACTTAAGCTTCGCTCTTTTTGGTTTTTGGTTTTCATGCTGGACAGGAGGGAGTGGAAAGGCACTTCTCGCAATGAAAGAAAGCGAGTAAAATTAGAAAAAATAAAATTTGTAGCAACTTTTTGCCATACGAGTGTTTACATAACATAGATTTTGACATATCCTGACATATAGGATACGACCATAACTCATTTAATATTATTATGGTTGTGTGATCTACTTAAATCCAAACGTTGATCATCCATCCCATTACCCACGACTTACTTGACAACACTTTTTTGTAGCACAATCTATTTGAGTTCTATCGAATTCCCAACCCACAACAGCTGCCAGAGTCCTGCACTGCCATGGCAAGTGTTTCAACAAAGGTCAACCGAAAACCAAAGCATAAACAGCACAAAGACCAAAAAAAAGAACAAAACAAAGACCAAGACAAGGACAAGGACGAAGAGCCTTTGCCAGTGTGGAGCCGTCTGCTGAACCACAATGCGGATGGTCGCAGGCGCAAGAAGGAGCTGCAGAGTGCCCAGTACCAGGTGGAGATCTCCAACCGCCTGTGGTCGCTCTGGGGCAGTGCACAGCCCGTGGAGGTTGGGCCAGATCCTCCCAGTACGTCCGGCGAAACAGAAGTGTCGGGCAAACGACTGCAGGGTGCATCTGCCGAGACGCCTACAGTGCCAGGACGAACGCTGGCCTGCTGTGTGATGGCCTGTTGTGCCAACACCTTTCTGTCGCTGGACTTTTGGGACTCGCACACGCTGGACAGGATCATCGCCAATGGCGAGAAGTACCACAATGCCAGTGCTAGGCGAATCCAGAGGCCGGAGGGAGCTGGAGAGCTGGTGCTGGAGAATCTGCTCACCGCCTGCTCCATGGACAGGAACCACTTCTGGGTGAACACCGAGAAGGTGATCACAGGGATACTCTACAACAGGCACAAGAGCCTTGGGGCGGCACTCAGCATCTTCTTCAATCACCACCAAAAGACGGGCATCCTGCAGCTCAAGGACAAGGCCCTGGCCTTTGGCTTCATCCCCGAGGTGTCGGCCGGTGGCGCTTTCTTCATGTTCCATTGCCAGGCGCAGGGCAAGCCCCTCTTCAAGGATTCTGAGAGCGCTCCGTATGTGCTGCGGATGCGACAACTGCAGCAGTTGCTACACTGCATCCTGACCACACTCAACGAACGCAGCTGGAACGTACCCTTCAAGATACACAAGGTGTCGTGTGTGGCCAGGAATCGCTCAAGGGTGTAGCACAGAGGAAGCACATTTGGGGATTCGGTATGAACCGATTAGAAATTAAATAGAAATTTTATAGTTGATTTGTTGTTGAGTTTTATGAGTTTTAAACATCTAAGCGACGGGGGGAGAAAATTGCGTAGAATCTTAGATCTGGTTCTGGTTGATTACACACATTTATTTCCCCAAGACTAGGCTACTGAAGTAGATTCCCCCCATTAGCTTAAGTTTTTTGGTTCTCTTTCTTAGTTCTGTTCTGCGATTCCACAGTGAATACATATTGTGTCTAAGATATGTCCCCTTAGCTATATGCTGATCATCTTCTCCAAAAATCACCATCAATATTTAGAGCCAGAGTAGCTAAGGCTTGATCCCAAATGATGACTAAGATCAGAACGATGACCTAAGTCAAGCAAAGTTCAGTTCATTTTAATCTCAGCTCCCACTTCTCTGCTTACCGCACAAGTGACTCAATTCTTACCCATCCTCATATTTGTTGTAGTGCACACATGTGACCGACTTACCCTCCTTCTTTCCACAATCAAATGCAATTTCGCAAAGGCAAATCAAAAGTAATTGTCTCACATCACTGCGCTTGACATTGCGACGTTTCGCAACGAACAAACGATGCTCAGCCTCTGGGATAAGTATTCCTTCATCTCACAACATATTATTATATGGTATGTATGTATGTATGTATATGTTTATGTGTGTATCAGTCAGCGCATCGAAGCGGAAATGCGGTTCAGCTTGGCATTCAATTCGGAAATATTCCTTAATTGTCCGACCACGCAAATAATTCTTCCTTCGCTCTTCACTGTAGCTCCCTTTTTTGTAACCTTTTTGACCCCAGCTAATTGAGCGTAGGATTTGCCGGCGGGAAACAATTTTACGACAGTTTTAGGCAAAGACAAATTGTGGCTACATTTTTTGGTTGGGTTTGGGTTGGGTGCGATGCCGGTGCCGCCCATGTACGTGTAGCGTGATAATTCCATTATGATTTAATTAAAATCGCATGAAAATATTAACGAATATAAATAAAATTTGTCACATGGCGCACGAACAAAACCGAAAGCTGTCATAAAAAAAAAGAAGAAGGAAAAAACACTTAAGAAATACGAGTAAAATGAAATAAAATGTGATAAAATACATAGCGAAAAATGGGTGGCAACTAAGCCACGGCATAAACGTTTTGGCCATTTAAACTTGTCGCACGGCTTTTATTTTGTTTGTTCGTTTGATTTTTTGTTGGCTGCAACTTACATATTTTGCTCTGCTGCGAAAATGTCGTACAGAGTTTTCAATAAAACTGGCCATTTATCAACGGCAAGGGGCAACGCAGCAACGAAGCAACGAAGCAACGGCACAACGCGCTCAACGGGCTCTTGAGAATCGACAATCGAATGTTGCGCATACGCCCCGTGGCCCGAGGGCAACGCGTTGCCTGTTGCCTGTTGGCTGTTGGCTGCACATGCGCATGCTCGCTCTTCGACTCCAACGCTTATGATGTGATTCGAGTTCGAGCTCGGATTTGGATTTGAATTTGGATTTGATTTTCCATTGCTCAGGCCTTAACCTCAGCCCCACCGATCCAGCCCCCCCGTGCCACATGCACATGCAACTCGATCGAGCAAGTCGCATTTTTCACGCTTTGTCAACTTTGGCTTTTGCTGCTTCAGGTAGCTCTGGTAGCTATGGCTATGGGGAGGAGCCACTAATGCCGCAGATTAGTGTCAAGATTTGCATACGAAATCGTATATCTGCCAGGTGCGTGTGTACTCCACAGCACACACACGGCTATGGCTGTGGCTATGGCTGTGGCTATGGCTGTGGCTGTGGCTATGGCTAATTTGGTAAGAGTGTGGCCAAATTTGGCTAATTCCGAATGAATGCAGTTGCCAACTGCCAAATGTGCGTCCTGCTCATGAATCATGCTCGCCGTACTGCTCGCTGGTGGTGCTGTGAATCATTTGCTTGGAACACAAGGGGTAGTAGTACCCAGATCTAGATATGTCACTGGCTAAATGCATGACTAAAGACTTAAGCAAAGCCGACTTAACATGGCCATTAAGTGGCAAAGATTATCGGGTGATTAGGTGCCATGGAAACTAGCACTATCTGCTGATGATTAATCTCTTGAACTTATTTTTATACCACGACTATCAGTGGTCGTAAAGTACTTAAGCTGGTGATGCTTGGTCTAACGATTCTGTGATTTCATGGATCCGAGAACTCGTTGTGTTCAAGACTAAAGAACATACATAAGAGCTAACAAAGGGTATCTATAACTACCTGCCATGCCAGATCGCTACCTTTGTGGCCGATATATAGGCAAAACAATATTGCGTAGCATTTGCACACCTGAAACTTCGGATAAATGTAGCTTGATTGACTCATGGGACTATTTGTCAAATTATACCACAAATGTTTTACAACTCTTTAAATGGTGTATTTACTGGCTGACTTTGAACCTTAGTATTTATTGGATCTATCCATATATGACATACGAGTCCTTTCTGACAGGTTCAACAATAGATCGATCCCTATCTTTTTCTCTTCCAAGAAAATTAAAAACTTTTCCTTTAGAAAGTTAAAATTAATGCCAGGCTAAAGCTTATTAACCATACAGATTTTTATAGCAAAAGCATTGGGGTTAGCCAAGTTTCGAACCAATTTTATGGTGACTGCTTGTGAGGAAACTTTTATATGTGAATACCATTTCCGTTAATAGAAGCATTTAAAATATATCACTACATACAGACGGTACTTAGTAAAAAACAAAAAATAATGATCGACCAAAAATGATCACGTAAAATAGTTAAAAAGATACCCTTAAAAATAAAAGAATTTACTTTGATTTTAACTAATTATGTTGGAAAATCCCTTGCAGAGTATAAAATAATTTAGTAAAAGGTATATGTAAGCGATTATAAATTTCCTGGAACTTTTCATGATGAATATCCTGCAAAGTATCTTAAATATGAAATATATATGCATATATAAGATTTACCCTAAAAATTAGGAAAACTCATTTGATTCTTCTTCTAAATTGAAATGCACTTCTGTTTGTTCCAACTTCTTTGATAGATTGTGGCCTATAGATATATTGTTTTTCAACATCTTCCAGTCGCTGCCAAGAACTGCATCGTCAATGGAGCTGCATAAAACTTCTTTCAAGAAAAAAATGAAGCAAAAACCCGTCCAAATACTAGTGTCTGGCTGGCTGTCTGGCATTGGCGGCATGGGGCATCCCCAAGAGTCGACGTCATCGTCAACAACAAACAGCGCTGCTGGCATCAGCATCAGCCAGCGTCGCCGTGGCTGCGTTGCTGCCTCGCTTGGTTGTGGGCCACTTTGACTGCGAAGCCTGCGAGTGGCAGTGGCAAGGCACAGTCGTTCCTCGGCCGAGCAACCGTTTGCATCGCGCGCACAGTTCCCACAGCTCTCTCGCCACTCTCTCCCTCTCTCTGTCTTATTGAGTCTCTGTACGCTTTGAAGGATACAGATACAGCAAGTGCAATAAAAGGAGACCGGCGCCACAGAGTCGCCTAGCAGACCCGCAAGGATTCCCAGATATCATTCCAGTTGCTGCTCCTGCTTTAAGGAAGCCATGTCGGCAGTGCCCATGAAAGCCCTCATCGCTGGCGTCTTCTTGCTGGCAAATGCCTGGCACATCTCAGGTGAGGAACAGCGACTCGACCCTCAGGTGTTTTGCCGCTAAGTGTCGATCAGTACCAGAACATGGTCCATAATGTCTGTGTAAACATAATCCCACAAGAGCAGTACACATTTTTCACATTTGATTCTGTTTACGTGTAATTTCATCTGCCCACACAAGGTCGCCCCAGGTTTCGATTAGTTTTGGTCTGGTGATGGTACCCATATAGAGTCCATGAATGAAAATTTCCCCAATTTTTACCATATTTCCCATCTTTTGATTTTGTTTATGTGGTTGCTAGCCGTCTTCCTCTTTTCGTGCGATTCGTGCAAAAGTTTTTACGATTCTTCTTTGCGGTGTTTATGAAAATTCTTCTAACGCCACAATATTCTTACAACTTTCGCGTTCATTTCAGGTAGAATCTATACAATTTACTTCACACATTTCAGCCAGAGATTTTTATGCTATTTTTGCAATTTGCCAGAAGATTTATGAGCGACAGTTCTGCTTTCGAGCACTCAAAATGATAGAGATGTCCGCTGTTTTTATATGTCATAAACAAATTAATAGCGAATGGTAATATAATGATATATTAATGGGGCGATAGATGTTTAGACACCAGAATTCTGTTTATTGTGACTACGGAACACGTGTGGAGAGTGACAGCGGGGGCGAGAATAATTGAAGATTCGCTACAGATTTGATTGGTGATGTTAAAGACTGGTAAAGTGGAAGAAAAATATCAGTGGTGATAAGAAATCTGTTATTGTAGTTCCATAGAGTTGAATGCAGGTGTTTGTTTGCTTAGAAATAACGAGGCAAAAACTGAAGTGAAATCTAAACATCATTAATGAAAGGTAGTCGGTGTTTCATTTATTCCATAATTTTTAGCACAAGTGTGAAGTTTATTCACTGTTCCCACAGATATAAAAATTTTGAGGAAGAAAATTAAATTTAAATTATTTTTTTTATATATATCTAGAACTCACTCCATTGTTACATTCAGAATTGAAGGAAGTGACATTGTTGTTGGATTTATTATTTCTTAGATTTATGGACGACAGTTTGTTTTGAGCAACTGGACAACTTAGTTAACTAAAATTGCTTTGAAAACATTCACCTATCGTCATATTTTGGGGTTCAAATAAAATGATTAAATGCATTATAGTGAATACAATAAATACCCCAAAATCGATGAGCTATTACCCAATAAAGATTCAATTAATGAAAAATAAATGTCACTTTTCTTCAAATTCTACAAAAATTCATAACCACACCAGTGCCTATATAATCTTAATACCTCCATCAAACCCTGTTATGATCTTCATAAATTAAATGATAAACACATAAGTTTCTCATTAAATTAATCATCCTTTGCTATACACGTATTGTGCCATATTTTACACCTTGTCACTCTCAGATTTTTCCGCAATTTTCTTTCGAAATATGTGAGAAAATTGGTGGGTCATTGCTTGCTTAATGAACATTGCTACATGCACATGTACTCGTACATATATATTATATATACGTATATGTGCATATAGCATTTTCTTTTCAGTGATTTTCACGCGCTTTCAATGATTGGCAACCTGCATGGCATATAAATCCAAATATTTCCACACGACTGCCAGAAATTTCATACAATATTTATTTGGATATTTTTCGTTTGCTTGGCTTCACTTGATTTACCGAAAACAAATGCAAATTCCATAATTGGAATGCTGAATGCTGAATCGATTCTAATGAATGCATCGTGATTGGGGCTATTAAATGGTGAATCGAAGCAGTGGCTGTGACTGGGACGGGGGCCCTCCTGTTGCTCTCAATTAGCCCTCCTTTATGTCCTGCAATTATCTAATTGCATTGTTTCTGCCCACTGGACTGCTACTGAGATCGAGAGTGCGCATGTCTGACTGGCGCCAGGACGGCGTCTGCTCCAGTTTCCAGCAGCGATTGACTTACTCCCGCTGTCTTCTTCAGCAGCATCCAACCCCCACCAAGTCTCTGGGTTTTTTCTGTAGAAACTATGTCACATTCTGGTGTCCTTCGCTGGGGGTTAGTTCGTTGTGTTAGAGCCTCTGTTCAATGGCAAGGAATTGCGTAATTTGCGTCAACTGATAATGAATATACCAGGGCCAGGGATTGGCTCGGTACTCCCCCAAAGGAAGTGACACACATCCGATCCGTATCAAATTATATTTGTTATTGTCTGGATGGATACACTGTTTTTATGGGGTGTGTGTGTTAAATTTGCTTTCGCTTGAAGGCCTCTTTACAGCGCTATTTCTTGGGCTTCGGGGGTGGATTTATTATCACACAGGAACCATAAAGTATAGGATTGCAGAAGGGTATGGTGTGTTGTGTGGAGTGTAACTTCCTTCAGACAAGTATCAACTTTCAATTATCCGAAACCCCAAGGAAGCCAAACCAAAGCCAAGGCATATGCGTGACCTTACCAAAATGCCTTTGAGAATGTTAACAAAACCGTTAAAATGCGACCTTGAGTTGGGCCATAAAAAACAATCAATTACTCACACCATAAAAGTAGGAAAACTCTCTGCCAATTACCTGAAATTGCACGGGAAATTCCGAAACAAAACACTTTGCAAGGCTGCAAAGGAGAGTCTGACAGTTTGTGGGCCTAGTTTATGCATATGTCCAGTCGATAGTGGGTGTTGAGCAACCAAAGAACCGCCCAAGAAACTTCCATTCCAAAACCTCTGACATGCCAAGGACATACCACAGCAATTGGCGCTAGAGTTAAGGCTGACTGGTTGGTGGCCTGGACTCGGAGGAGCGTCCACGTAATATCTTCAGCCAGGGTGTAATAATGTAATTTAGCGTAAAACTTTACAGAAATGAAATACAAATGTTTTACAGTCAATATTTGACAGGCACTCCTCCTCTTTTGGGCCGGGGATTGGGTTTGGATTGTGTGCTCTTTCAGAGGTTGACTCACGGCAGCTGTGGCTGTGTAGTGCAGAGTGGGGCGGCACGTGGCCAAGTGGCATGTTTGCCGTCTAAACAAGCAAAACGGGGCTAGTCCTGCTGCCAGTGCGACTGCTTACTTTTCCTTACCTGACCAGCAGGACATGCAAAAAACGTTCTCAAGGACTCAACCCGATCTTGATTCACTGTCAGGCCAAATCACGCAAACTTATCAAGCCAATTAGTGGGGGTTTCCTCGCTCTTTAGGCCAACTCTCGAGACTCTTCAATTAATTAATTCATTTGTCTTATACTATAAATAGTTGGATTCTCTTTGCCTCCTGTTTATCACAGCAATTCGTGTGTTTTGTGTGTGAAAAATATATATTGGAGGTGCGAATCGAACGCACAAAATAAACAAATTATCATGAAAAACAAATAAACATTTTTTGTAGAATAAAAAAGGAAGATCATGATGGGGGAATAAATAAAACTATATTTATATTGGAAGATCAATCAGGGAAAGTTGTGTGTGGGAAGAGGGCGATAATTGAATTTCAATGACTTATTGAAGGAAAAAAATAAAAGCAATGAGGGGAAGTAGCAACAAAAGGTATTATAAAAATAAAAAAAATTTCACAAAAAATAATGAGAATAGTTAAAAGAAAACAAAAGCTATTTAAGTAAATTTTGTATGAGTAATTCTGCTGAAAATTCTGCTGAAAATTCTGCTAGAAAATTTTCATTTACGAAAACGATGACTATTTGCAGGTAAAACAAATATCGAAAAAATATCAAGCAAAATGGAATTTGAATTAATTAAATTAATTGGGAAATTCAATAAAAACTTGAACAAGTTTTTTTTTAAACAGAAGAGGGAATCAAGACTTATTCATCAGTTTGACGAGGTAGGAAATCAGCAAAAGCTAAATAAATAGGGGAACCTTAGTTAATTTCGATTGGTTATTTCTTACAAATTAAGAGCACTTTTCGTACCTTCATATGAGCAGTAAAAGGGTGAAGTTTTAAAATAAATTGCTATATATGCACAAAAAGTCACGCAAAGGGGATAGAGTTACACTTTGTAACATTTTTCTAAGTGAAACTAAAGTTTAATCTCTGACTCACGGATAGCAGTAATTCCCCCCATTCTCACTGCTGCAGTGTGCTGAACCTCCCACTCCCCTAAGTACAGCCTCGCCCAAAATTGACGCACAATTTAGCCAGCATTCTCGAAGTAACTTTAGTGAATCGCCATCATTCAGTGACTTGATGGCGTATACGTAATAAAATTGGGCTATGGCGCCGCCACGACTGGCCACGCACCACTCCACTCCATTCCATTCCGTTCCACTCCACCAGTGGGGGCGGTACATGAACCCAGTGACTGGCTGGCTGGCTGCCTGGCGATGATGTTGATGATGTCAACATCGTAGTCGAAGAATCCTTCGACTCAGTGCCATGGATACACACAGAAACCCCATATCGAGTGGCGAATTGAATGGAAACTGTGTCACCCTCGAGTATTTTTAGAACGCAAATAAAGTTTTGCTGTTTGCCAAAAAGAGCAAAAGCCCAAGTGTGACCCTCTCAAAGGTCAATCGAAGTACAAGCTTAATCCCCTCCTTTTTTCTTTGACTTGCAGCCGGACATGAGCAGCAGCAGCAGCGGCATTTGCAGTGCTGGCACTGCAGCTCGGACACCATTGGGGCGGAGGACTTTTGCGACGTGACCTTCCAGGAGGACAACATACCCACGGACCTCATTAAGGAGCGGAACATCAATCTGCTGAGGAGCTGCAACAGCACCATCAATTCGGATCACGAGCGGCCCGTCTGCCGCAAGACTGTGGAGGAGAGTGAGTCCCAAAGAAATATTCAAAATATGAATCCATTTTTTAATTGTTTTCCACTCTCCAGACAATGGCAAGATGATCACCAAACGTTTCTGCTACTACACCAACAAATCGGATCCCGTGGAGCTGTGCAACGTGACCAGTCCCGAGAAGAATGTGCGGCGAATATTTTGCGAGGACTGCCTCACAGACCGTTGCAACAGTGCACCGGGTGTGGTGGCCATTATGACAGCCATTCTTATGATTCCAATCCTGGGCCTGGTACCACAGCTGGCCATTTAAATGAAGGACTGGAGGAAGGTCCTGCCATAGCATCTCTCCCTCTCTCTATGTCTCTTGTATTTTAGTTGGAACGTGATATTTTGCCTGGTGCAAGGAGTCGCCGGGCTGTTGCTGATTAACGATTTAGTTAGTTTAATTTACACTTTAGCTTAGATATTTCCCTCAACGACTAAAGATTTATGCTAAGTTCTGATATGATTTTCCTGGCTAAGTGCCAAAAGTTAGCCAAGCTCAAAGCCCCCTCCCCCCCAAAGCCTTTCCACAAATAAATATAAAAATAACCCAAAAATAAATACACAAAAAAATAAACTGAAAGTAATACCAGTAGAAAAGTCTCTGACTATACCAAAAACAGTATACTATGTAAAACATATTTTAATGTAATGCAAAACACACACACAAACAACAAACATTCTATGTAATTATCACAGCTGCAACTGAAAAACAGAAAAAAAAAACATAAACAGAATTTAATTTAAAATATTCAAGCACAGACACACCGAATAAAGTTTACACAATTGAATCCCCCTCAGAGATACCCCTCGAAGTTGTATTGTACAATCAGAGATACCCTAGAAGTTCTATTATCGCATTCACGAGGCTCTGCTTGATGGCTTGATCGAGGCTGGCGTAGGGCTCCTCCAGCTGCAGGCTCTGCCACATTTTGGCCATGTAGTTGCCAAACTCTGCGCTCTTTTGGCCGCCGCTCTTGTAGCGCTCGTAGATCATCAGCTCCGCGAAGACCATCAGCTGGAAGGACTCTTTGTTGCCCACCAGATACAGCTGGTAGAGAAGCGCAGCCATTTTTGTGGACTTTTCCAGGCTGTACAAACGCTTCATCACGCTGCCAATGATTTTCTGCAGCTGTTCCGGCTTGAAGAGGCAGTGGAACCTCTGGGAGTGGCGACCGATGGCCAGCTGCCACTTGCCCAGCTCGTGCTCGGGCGCCTCCAGGGCTTGTGTGAAGAGAGCCGTGCTGTTGATTGTCTCCAGATGCTCCCGAATGTGCTCGCGCAGGAGATGCCCCTGCAGGTGCTGGCTGAGGGTGATGTTCTTGTCCTTGCTGCACATCACATGTTGCATGGTCTCGTCCAGGTCCTCGATCTTGGCCACATCCCTTGGGTAGTCGGCACGCAGTTTGCCCCAGGTGGCCGCTGCCAGGGAGAGCTGCTCGTTCAGGGTTCCATTAAGGCCCTCGATGAGGGTCAACATCCGCTTGTGGTCATAGCAGATCACTTGCGTGCCCAGAGCATCAATACTGTATGGCACTAGCAGGAGAAGGAACAGCGAAAGCGATTTACCGATCATCTCTTATTTCAAAATAGAACTGAGCTTCGCAGTTCCAGCGCTTGAACGAGACCCCGTTCGGGTTATCAATAATCACGGCTTATCAGCTCAGGTCTGCCCCCAGCTCTCCACTCACTGAATGTCAATATGTTTCTCTCTCTCCCACTGAAAGTCAATCCCCAGCGCTCTTTGTATGTGTCTCACAGTGGGGATTGCTCCACTAATCCAAGCTGACACTCGGATAGCCATAGAAGTTTAATCCAATTATGTGACCTACATACGAGTACCAAACAATGCAACCCTCGCGCCAGTTTTTATCCTATGTTATCCTTGTTCGGCCCCCCAATCGCAGCCCTCAATCTCAAGCAGCGTTGAGTGACAGACATAATTAAATTTATGCAAATTGTCGGCTGTCCTTGTTGACTAGTGTTGCCTTTGGGCATCCTGCTAGGCCTCTCGCTATCTCTCTCCGCCTCATTACACATCGATCGTGCTTAATGAGATAGGCAAATCTGTCTTTTGGGGGTCCACATTGTTGTTTGGAACTTAAATATAAAAAATACAAAATATAATATAAATATAATAAACTTCTGCTCGAATGCTACTTCGAATTTGGCAAGTGTCTAGACTCTAGAGTTACCTGCATAATTCTTTGATTTATAAAATTTATTTTATATTTTTTTTTTTCTTTTTTTTTTTACATTTTCTTTCCATTTTTTTTTTTTTTTTTATTTTTATATTTTTTTTTTTTTTTTTTTTTTTTTCTTCTTCCTCCCTTTCGGGTTTTTTCCCCCCCCCCCCCCCCCGGGGGGCCAAAAAAAATTTTTATTTTTTTTTTTTTTGGGTGGGGGGGGGGGGGGGGAAAAAAAAATTTTTTTTTTTTTTTTTTTTTTTTTTTTTTTTTTTTTTTTTTTTTTCTCTTTTTTTTTTTTTTTTTTTTTTTTTTTTTTTTTTTTTTTTTTTTTTTTTTTTTTTTTTTTTTTCTCCCCCCCCCCTTCTTTCCTTTTTTTTTTGGGGGGGGGGGGGGGGGGGGGGAAGCTCTTCTCATTTTTTTTTTTTTTTTTTTTTCTTTTTTTTTTTTTTTTTTTTTTTTTTTTTTTTTTTTTTTTTTTTCCCCCCCCCCCCCCCCCCCCCCCCCCCCCCCCCCCCCCCCCCCCCCCCCCCCCCCCCCCCCCCCCCCCCCCTCTTTTTTTTTTTTTTTTTTTTTTTTTTTTTTTTTTTTCTTTTTTTTTTTTTTCCTTTTTCCCTTTCTCCCCTTTCTCCTTTGGAATAAAATTTGAATAGCAGAAATTCTACATGTATTTTACTTTAACTCTACACACTTGTAGACTCTAAAAGTGCTGCACACTTTTTGGCTGAACAATCAAAAGTTGTCGTACAGCAACATTTTTAGATACATACAGAGATCTTGAGTTAAGTTTTCTCCAAACGAAAAACCACTCCACTCAATTGAAATACAGAGAAATCCCATATAGTTAACGGATTGATTCTGTCACTTGAATCGAAGGGCATTGTTCGATTAGCAAACAAAACACATTTGAGGCTGGATGTTAATAGATCTGTTCACCTGAGTCACTGAGTCCACTGGCAGGCCGTGACATCAACCCCACTAAATTGAAACACGCAACTCTCCAAAGATCTCCGTCGTTTGAGTAAATTTCCACAGCCCCAATCCCAATCCTAATCATTACTGACTACTTTTGAGATGCACTCGGGCATACAAATTGCCTCATTAAATGATCTCTGCACTCAGATCTCTCCAGCCCTCTTAGAAACAATTTCTTAGAAGTTCTAACTCCACAAAAAAAAAACCGGTTTCTCAAAACCCAAACATCGACGGCTGCACATCGTGCTGGAAATGCCACTCAAAACAAAGCGTTTTTCGAGCCACATTTTTGGGGTGCGACTGCGACGCAGTCAAATGGATGGGGGCTACATGGGGCTTGCTTGTGTTGCTACAATTTGAAATGAACATCAGAGTCAGACGTGCAGCAGACATCGTTGAGAGCGGTTCAGTTTTAAGACTATTAAGGAAATATAATATCAAGTCAAGTGCTAATTGAAAATGGTGTCCGCTCTGAAATGCAGTTTGGCCGTGGCCGTCATCATCAGCTTGGCCTGTTCGGGTGGGTAGTGTTGGGAGTTGCGAGTGGCAGCGAATGCAGAGTGCAATCGGTCTACGAAAAGGTCTTTGGAACGGTTTAATTCAATAGAAAAAAAAGGAGTTCAAGGAGAACAAGTTTGAGAAGTTTTAATGTTAAATAAAGATAATTGCACACAAAGTTTTGGAGTTTCTATAAAGTTGTAGAAGAAATACTTATTGTCCTGTGCAAGATAAAATGTTCATAAAAGTCTTCGCAAAGGATCATCAATATCCTACCTTCAATATAAAATTCCATGTACTCTTCTTAATGAAATTATTTTTATAATTATTCTGTAAAGATTTTTTATTTTTGTTTGATATTAAGTTACTTTCAACCGTGATTAGTTGAAAGATTTATTTGGCCTCCACGTCTGACAGGTGTTAACGCCACCTCCATAAAGATAACTTCAAGATGAAAAGACACTTTAAATGAAAGAGAATCTCTGTAACTCCATTATCTGAATGCAAAATTTATATCCCCAAAAACGCATTCCACAAAAGTTAGTCAAAATAAAACAAATTATATTCCAAACTTAATCATAGACCTGTTTCACTGCCCATGCCACTGTTCACTGTCAATCTATGACACAATTTTGAATAATCAACTAATACTTGTATCTCCCTGCACCCCCCGTTCTTACAGCCTATGCCATCAAGTGCTATCAGTGCGAGTCGCTGACCATGCCCAAGTGCGGCCTGAAGTTCGAGGCGGATGAGAGTCTCCTCATCGACTGTGCCCGGATCGGGCCCCCGCGCTACCTGCAGAACTTCTTCCCCCTGCGCAACGCCACCGGATGCATGAAGAAGACCCTCGAAAGTGGTAAGTCCCAAAAAACAACCCCAAACTAAGTCCCGTGCCGAAACCCTTCAAAGTTCAGCCGAATATGTATGTTGAGATCATCGGTGAAAATCGGTTCAGGTTTGTCAGTATCTGATGTCATGCGTGAATACGGGTATTTCTGTTGTTGTTTTCAAGTCTTTGGCTGTTTCTCACGTTTCTCTGTCGCTTGGTTACGTCTAATTACGTTCAAGTTTATGAGCTTAATTCGTTTTTGTATGGAAATAATAATAATAATGACGTGATTGTGATGCCGCAAGTTTTTCTCTGTTTCTGAAACATTTCAATTTGCATTTTTGCATACATTTGCAAGGCATTTGAAGGCAAACGAATCAAAAGATTATTTATTCAGTGGTAAATATTATGATCATAATACACTTCAGTTTGGGCTGAGAGAAGTGCATGCGGCGAATCAATTGGCAAATCCACAGCAGAATTTAATTGATTGATATGATGAGATCAGAAAAGCCAAAGAAAATCGCTTAATCAGTCAGCTGGAAAATTTCAGAAATTACTCAACCAAATGCGACGTCTTGAGAGTGTTTTTTGTGACTCGTCAAAGGGGGCTACAGTCGGTGGGGTTTCTTGGCAATTAGCTACAGTCCCCCAATGGAGTCATAAATAAGTGTAAACAACAATTAACAAGTGCCACTTTATTTCACAGTGAACAATCACTCCATTTACTGGCAGTGAAAGCTATTTGCCGACTTACTCATCCATAATCAACGTCCAATTGTTTCTCCCTTTCCAGTGGTGGGACATCCGCAGATCGTGCGCAGCTGCTACTTTGGCGACATCTCCAACATCCAGAGCGGCTGCCAGTCGGATCCTTCGCTGCCCTTCGTGAAGCAGCTGGGCTGCGATGTCTGCACCAAGGACGAGTGCAACGGATCTGCGTCCCTGGCTCCCGTTGCCGGTGCCATTCTGCTCTTCTTCGGACTGGCTCGCCTGCTGGCATAGATCTTACCTACATAGTCCTTAAGTCCCTTAACTCCTTTTGATAGTAGTTTGTATCTCTCTTGCTCTCATGGAAATTAATTTGTGAAAATTTTTGTTTACATTTGAACCCATTTAATTGATAATAAAAGATGGAAGGAAACGAGTCCTTGCTAATATCCAATTGAAGGCTATAATAATTACTGGTGCTGGAGCTTTAAACGGGAAAACATGTGAAGAATATGGAAAGTATTTTGGTCTTGCTTTGAAAATATATTGGAATGATTAGAAACATTTAAAAGTGGGAGAGCTTATTTATTCATTCCCCAGAAGAGGAAAGAAACAAATTAGAGCTACTAAGCCACTTAGTAGTTAATGTGGTCAGATATAGGAAAACAATAATGCAAAAGTATTATTAAAACAATTTAAAAATAGATTTTGATATGTCAGAAAAGAAATCACTTTCGATTCCCCTTTTTAATCCATCTCAGATCATCAATAAAATTAGTTCGGATATCTCAGAAGATAAGAAGCATTTAATCATGATGGATATAGAAAAAAATAAGAATTAAGAAGTTACTTCTCTGCTCCTCAGGATTGTCATTATAAAATATATCTCAAAAATATTTAAATAGGAAGGAAAAGATAAAAGGGAAATAAACTGAAAAAAACTTGAAAATTGTCGTACGTTCATGACAGTTCTCGTATATCATACAGTAAATTGATCAGATGTTTCTAATTACCTCACTTTTGTATTTTCGCCATATTCTGAGAAGCCATACGCTTTTACTCAGAACCGAATCCCCTCAGAATCTACTTAGATGAAAAATAAATCATTATTAGATTTGCCTTTTGGCATGCATGATTAGAGAGGCTCAAAGGTGCTGCTCAGAAATACTTACACTCAGAATGAACGTGGGTGAATAATTACATTTTCGCTATGGGATGAATAGGTTAAATTCCGAGGAACAAATGAAATAAAAAAAGAGTCTTATTTGCGGTACCTGGACCTTGTAGCCCAGCCCATGTGTAACTTCAAACGAACCGAAGTGAGTAATGCTCCAATATTGTAAGTCGACTTAATTTAACAAAATATTTAAATAAAATAAGGAAGCATTTGTAGACTCATCCCAGGCCAAAAGGCATAAATAAACATTAAACTGCAAGTTCAATGACTCAAAACTCCAACTGAAACTGAAGCTGGGACTGAAACTGAATCAGACTCTGTGTAGGATTTTGACTGGGGGGATTAGAGTGTGGAACACCTGGGATCTAATTAGTATGTGCACCCATACGCCCGACGAAAAAGTGTGATGTTCCCGACAACAAAGACTCTCTCCCCTGGCTTGCTCCTCCGATTGAGGGATAGAGATACATACATACATATAAATATATATGTATTTGCTTGTCTGCCTGTTTAATCATATATAATTGAGTTCAATTTCATTTGGAAGTCAAGTTTCAGTTTCAGCTTCAGCCTACCCTTCGGATTCGAGTTTATTAAGTGTTAAATGCATTTCTGAAAAGTTCAAAAAACTCCAAGGCCCCAAAGACCACTTCCACTTTCCCCGGATCAGAGAGTGATGCTCTTCTGTGTGATGCTGTGGGCACACTCCGCCTTCGCTTTCTCCGCCGCCGCCACCGCCTCTGCCAGCGACTGCTCAATTAACCCAAACCCAAACTCATTTGGCATAATTCGAAAAAATTACTTAATTGAAGAAAATAGAAAATTATAATAAGACTTGTGGGAAAGGCCACTTAAATACGGAGTTCTCTGCTTCCATGTTCTCCCCCCTTGAACGCACAAGATTATGAAATTTTGTTCACAAAAACAAAAACTTGCACTACAATAAATAAAACGATTAAAATCGGGGGAATTTCAATTGAGAACTGCCAAGCGGACTTAACAGATGGGCCAGCTAGAAGATCGAGTAGAAATAAATGCAGGCTGATGGAAATTTGAAGTATCAAAACTCTTGACTTAAGGGATGTTAATTGAAATTGAGACAGGAATAAATTTAATAAATAATCACTATTTGGAGATGGATACTTGATTGCAATAATAATAAATTCAAACTCATATCAAGCAGTAATTTCAGAACTAAATTAGAATCAAAATCATCCTCAGGATTGTGCAAATGTAATGTTACATTATCTGCCACAGAGCATGGAACAAAAGATACATGGTTGTGTGGTTTTGTATTTATTTAATTAGGTAGATGTGATCGATGTACGAGAGGCACAGGGGAGAGGTACAGGGTACTGTACCGACAGGGCTCGAACGGACTCGATCAATCGGCGATCTGTTGCTGCTTGACAAGCTCTACAGTTGTTAATTGTTGCGATTTGCACATCAATGGGAACTTGAAGCCGGCATACGAATACTCATACTCATACTGTGAATAATTTGAGTATATTCCCAACTGCGCATTAGAATCGAAATGAAGCGGAATGAAAATGGCCAAAAGCGAACGATGACGTCGCGCTTACAGTGCGGAATCCCTCTCAGCCATAACGAAGCATAGAAAGCGGTATAAAGCATAAATCAGGCTTACATAATACTCAAAAAATATATTACAAAATAAAGAAAACGAGTATTATCAAATGCTACGACATGGCATGGCTATGCGTCTGAATTGTCTCAGGCGGAGAGTAAAAACACAAACTGAATATACAAAAAAAAAAAAAAAACACAAAAACGTCTGACATCACCCAAAACAAGTCGGCAAAAATTCTTCATACATATTTACATATACACTACGCTAGTATATGTACATAAAATACATACATATGTGTGTGCGTGTTTGTATAGTTTGTGTGTCACAAAACAAAATGTGGCAGCGTCTATAGAAAATTTCAAAAACAGAATTCAACTAGCGGACACGCAACGAACATGAAATCCCACTCAAACCAACCGCCGCGCCGGGCGAGTGGAAGCTTTTCGAGTGTGCTCACTCGGAAATGCGAGTGGGAGAATGAGTGCGAGTGCGAGCATGGTCACTGGGGCTCCGAACGCGTCTTGTCGATGAGCCACATATTAAACACTCGTCAGTCGCCGTACCGTCAAGGTCTGCCAGTCGCAATCGTAATCAAGAATTTCCCTCAAAGTGTAAAATGGTGTCCAGTGTAAAGCTCTTCTTGGCCCTCACCATCTTGGCCACTCTGGCCTGCACGGGTAGGAAACGCCAGCCAAACACAAACCCAAACTCCGATTGTATTGATCTACATGCAGAGATCTCTTATTCCAGGCTATGCCATCAAGTGCTACCAGTGTGAATCGGTGACCAATCCCAAGTGTGGCGAGAAGTTCGAGTCGGACGACAGTCTGCTGCTGGACTGCGCCAAGATTGCACCACCACGCTTCCTGCAGAGCTTCTTCCCCGTTCGCAATGCCACCGGTTGCATGAAGAAGCTCATCGATACGGGTAAGTCTGCTCTGCTCGCTGCTCGCTGCCATCTGCTGCCATCAGCGATCGTGAGGTCACACCCCTTGAACTCGAATGCAGCCCACGCAGACGCAGTGTCCTCACTTAACCAATTAGCTTGATTAACATTAATTACAATCGAACCCAAGTGCGCAGGGGGGCAGGCGTGAACAAAGTCAGCTAAAGAAGCAGGGCTAAGACTGTGATATGCGTGGGAATATAATTAGATAGTTTTATGGAACTGTCTAGCTTCTTAATAAAAAATAGGAATTAATTTTAATTTACCTTTTCATTTACCTTTAGAGAATCGCCAGAGGTTAGCTCAAAATATTTTGTACTGCATAGCTAATTTTTTTTTTTATCTATGACAACATTCTACAGCAAAAAAATTGAGTGGAAGTAAAAGTATATATTTTCCGCGAAATTAAGAGATTTTACAATATATGTATGTACATTGTCGTATATATTTACATACATTTATGCATGTAGTTTGCTTATAGATAAAGAGAATCTTTCGATTTGTTTACCATTTCCACACACATTCAGTGTCATCTCATTGAGATTTCGTTTTATAAATAACTCATAAATACTATCTCTCCTCTTTTTGATGTTTCCGTTTTCATTTCAATGGAACATATTTCCATAATCTTGCATTCACATTCACAGGCATTTCTCAACATTTTATAAGAGCTTAAAATCACGAATAAATATATGCATGTATTCCCCAAAGCCAAACCCCATCGAGACAAAACCTTTCCGCTGAAATCTGTTCATTTCATTATTAATTCAACAAGTGTTATTGCAATCATATTTGAGTTGCTCGCTTGGCATATTAAGGCAATTATTTCGATTGGCCCAACGTTTGTCGTACATCAATATTATTCGACAATAGCTCCCTGAACACCACTCGATTATTTCCGGAATAATTAACTGGAACTATTAACGATATTTATGGAATTTATACCGGGATCGGAATATTTATGCTCGTTGACCGCAACTTCGCCTCCAATAATTGTTTGTTAATTACATTAACAGTCGACCTACGCCTCGTTTTCCCATACCCCAGAACCATCGGGGGGGCTGAGACAGGGAGCGGCAGTAGCAATTAACTGACAGACAGGCAGAAGTCAGCCCCACAAATTAGTCATAACTATGTACGGACGAGTACGCGTTCATATCTGCCCTTAGTGTTTCACATCTTAACGATGTGAAGGGCGGAAAAATATGCTAATTAAAATACATATTTGCGTGTAATTAAAACATGCTATGAAAGGAATTTAAGGACAGGCACTACACACAAAAATGACTTAAATTTGAATAAGCCTTCCTTCAAATGTTTTTCTGTACTTTAAATGTGAGTTATCCGTTCTGAATAATTGAAAATGTTAACGTTTAGAACGCAATATATGATATATACATACTATATCTGTACGTATGTACATATATGGCAAATAGACGCTTTCAATAGCGTCGCAAATATAATTGAGATGCAGCTGAAAAACTTGGGGGGAGTGGCTAAATGTATTTGATAAATAAATGGAAATGATCTATCTGAAATGATTACATATATGTATGTATGTGGCCACCCTCTACGAACACATAAGGCACTAAACTGTAATTTATAATTGTTGTTTCTATAATTGTCTGATCGGGTAATTAATTTGCAATTCATTTCCATCAAAATGATCACAGCCATATTGGAAATTCACATTAACAGAGAAAAACTATTTGATGGAAATTCTTAAGCAAATTAATTTAAATTTCCAACACGTACACAATCAGTGGAAAAATTTAATGGAGGATATATAGTGGCAAAATAGTTCGGTGCCCTTTGAAGTGCCTTTTAAACACAAAAAATAGTTTAAAAAAAACTGACTCTGCTTCAGGATTCAGAAAAACATCGTTAGAATTTAATATTAATAAAATAAATATAAATTATCAATATCTAAATCCGCGTAAAAATTGCACTAAAATTCACCCTATTTTTTGTTTGCATTTTTCTCCTACAGTTCCCGAACACCCACAGGTGGTGCGCAGCTGCTACTTCGGGGACATCAGCAACACCAAGACAGGTTGCACATCGGACCCCTCCCTGCCCTTCACCAAGCAGCTGAGCTGCGATGTCTGCACCAAGGACGAGTGCAACGGTTCTGCCACCATCGGCCCCATTGCCGGCGCCATTCTGCTCTTCTTCGGTGTGGCTCGCCTGCTGGCCTAAGAGCGGGGAGAGCGACTCTCTTTCCATATCCGTACTAGATGTTGTGCGCTTTAATCATCGAAATCTTTGATAGGATCCATCCGCTTTGAATTTTTCTCTTGAATTTGAATCTGAATCTGTGTTTATTGTTGTACACCCTTCGAACATTTTTTTCTGCATTCGAATCGCTTTATTTATTTTAAATAAACATTTTGTTAGTTGTCCACTTGGTATTATATTGAATTGAATATTGGGAGACTAATCTGGAAGACTGTAAATCAAATGGGTTTAAATGGGTTTGCAATTCCGTACTCTCTATTCTGTTCTCATTTACTCGGAATACAGTTTTAAGTTTGGTTCTATAGTGAGACTTTCAACTGAGAGTTTTTCTAACACATCCTATATTACATGGATATACACAGCTAAGGCTTCGAAATATAACGACTAAAGTCCGACAAGGTATGATAGGAAATTCGTACGAAAAGCGTTGCTCGTCATTTTAAAGCTTTTTGCCTAAGCAAGAAATTGTAAAGCATACTTTAAGGCAATGTATGGCTATGGATCGGTGGTAGTCCTTCAGAAGTTTCGGTAGTTATTCAGGTAGGTATGAGGCAATACACAAGTGCAATTGCCAATTCTTACATGATAGAGTTAAGTGTCATCGATCTATTTTTAGAAATAACGCATTTAATGGAAATTGTCCAAAATTGGCCTGAGGAGAAGTGAATTCTAATCGATAAAAGGACTCCGCTGTAGGCCATAAATTGTTAATAGAGTTATGCCTCTGCTTCTAACATTTCTTTGATTATTGCTCGGCGCACGCCATACGAGGCAACCGATTAAATATCATGTCCAAAATTTCATTCACTTTCGTTCTCTTCTTCTTTTGATACATGATGCAGCCGCCTTGCTCTTTGGCCAACTTTTGGAGCTCTCTTTCCTGCCGATAATAGAACAGCAAGCCCAAGACGTATTAATATAAGGTGGAGGCGCTAGCTGGTCTATGGCTATATGCCGTGCTCTCTGTGCACTTTTCTTGGTCGTAAACATTAACACTGAAGCTGCTGCTGCACGATGCTTTTTATACTGGAACCGAATTCGGTGGTTTACCGGTAATACCCGATGGAAGCTACCGATTGATTGGGACGGGATCCTTGTAGGTTTTGCGTCGGTAATGAGTCATGCTGCTGACTTTCAAGACTTTACAGTATTCAACCAAAGGAGCTCCAGCTACCCTGTTTAAATACACCTCTTCTTCTGGTAATCTCTCTCCCAGTGTTTTAGTTCCACTCACTAGCACCCCGACCCTCTCCACATGTGCGGGCATAAATTCCCGCCAGCCATTCGTTGGGAAAGCCAGAAGCAAAACGTTCATTAAAATTAGACAAATTAAAATGGTGAGCGATGACGCCAGACGAAATGGCCATAAAGTTTCTTCCGCACCAGCACTCAAAAAAGAGCGAAAGAGTGGCAGAGTGTGGCAGGTGTGGCAGTGTGTGGGAGCGGCCAAAGAGATGCAAAAACAAGAGGCAGAGAGACAAGGAGTTGAATTTGGAAATGCTTTTCGGCATTCTTTTAGTTCGAATTCGTTGGCAGCCGCGTCGACTGGCTGGCATTTAAGCGGCAAATTGTGGGAAAACTTTGTAGTATAGAAAAGCAAAAAAAAAAAGAAAAACAGGAAAGCGAAGCGAAGGAAAGACGCGTGTTTACAATCGCGTAACGTGCCCCAAAAGAAAAACCCCTCCTAACAGAAATATGTACAAATAATTTATAGAACCAGAGAACACATATTTCTCTATATTGTGGGTAGATATATATTACGTATACGTATTGTACAGTAGATGTGGAAAATGTTTTATATTTAAATCTCGAGTGGATCGTTCCAATTGCCATTGCTCTGTCTCGGGCGACAGCGGCGGCGAGTGAGAAGAGTTATAAATAAGCGTTCAACTTGAATTATTCTCCAATAAAAGACATCCAATAAAACACAATCCAAAGGAAACTTGCTGCCTCCCTCCGTGAGAAAAGTGGAAAAGTGCCCTTCCTTCCGTCCATCCCAACACCCAGTGATTTTGCACTACTCTCCCACCAGCAAATATGCGGCAATATTTACTTCTGTTTGGCGCGCTCCTCTCTCTGCTGGCCTCAGGTTTGTTCCGCTTTTGTTTGGGTTTGGGTTTGCATTTGGTTTTGCTTTTGATTTTGTATACCCTTGCAAAGGCTATCACAGACGTGACAAGGTGTTTAAAATGGAGTGAAAAAAGCTGAGAAGTATACTATAAAGTCCACACATTTTGCTAAGATCAGGATAAATCCATTAAGCAATGACTACGTGGAGATATCTCAATGAAGCATCTGAAATTTTCTGAACTATATGTAGTATAAAGCTGTCAAAGGAATAAGTAAACGTTTGTGATACTCTTATCCGATACTCCACAGATAAGTGGCCTTAACTGCAAGAGTATTTAACCTTCGGTTATTCAAAGATACTCTTGGGTTGAATGAATTTTCCATTCTGACATTTGGTTTTGGATATTTAATTATTCTTTTACTTTTGTGTGTTGGCTGCCTCCTGTCCCCTGTGGTCTGATCTCATTATGGCAATAAATAAGACGTAGCTTTTCATCTTTTCGTGTTTTTCATCTTTCCAATGCCAACAGCCTACGCCATTAAGTGCTATGCCTGTGAGTCTGTCTACGAGGCGAGCTGCGGTGAGAACTTTGAAGTCGAGAACCATTTCAAATACGACTGCGGCTTTATTGCGCCGCCTCGGTTCCTGGAGAACGATCTGCTCAGCGTGAATGCCACGGCGTGTCTGAAGCGGGTCTTCAAGGGTGAGTATAGCTGTACCGGAAGTCATTGGATTCGAAGGAAAAGTCGAAGGAATTTTGAGGATAAAATTGGATTTTCACGATTTAAATCACTTAAATCAAAACTAATTAAGGTTGAGTAATGGAGGGAGAAATATAAATAAAGTAGGAAGAGAAAGAAGAGTAGGTTTCATTATCCATGTCTTAAGAGACACAGAGGAATATAGGCAAGCTAAATTATTAGGGTAATTATACTTGGGTAGGAATTCCTGGCCGACATTTATATTTTTTCCTGCATTCATTATACCATGCAATTTTTAAAAATAAGTAGACAAAATTTACCAAAATAGTTTCTAAATGTTTCAAGATGTTTAACGCATTTATAAATGATTTATGACAGTTTCATTGCTTTCAAGAAAATATATGATAAATGTTTAAAAATTATTTGTACAAGTTGAAAGAGATAATGCATTCTAAGGTGATTTATGACTATTTTCCTTTGAAAATATACAGAAAGACATATGGACTATATAGTATCTAATGTTCAGAGTAGTTTTATAATTAATAGAAATTAAATTAAATCATTAAATTAATGAATGATGATTAAATAAATTATGATTAATGATTAAATAGATTGAATATAGATGCAGTAAAATGTTGCCTGCTTCTAAGAATTTGAGCTGCCAATGATATGGGTCTCTATTATGGGACTAAAAGTCCGATACAAAAAGGACTTACATATACTCCCTTTGTTCCATTACAGCAAACTGTATTAAAAATAGTCTCCAAATCAGATCACGATCTGATCACAATGAATAGATAGTTTGTAGCCACTTTGTTGATATACAACAAATGGAATTGTTGAAATATGTTGACTGGATACATATTTGAACAAACAGCTGTCGCACTATATCAAAATAGTTTTAATAGCTCTGCCAGACGATGGCTGACGCTCGTCTTTCGTTGATAGTTTTGGCTTCATTTCGAATCAAACATGGAAAAGAGTCGCATACGTATACTATATAGAAATTTAGCCTGAAAGTAGACTGACTAATCGCACAACCAATGTCTTGTTTATTCCCACAGAAAATGGCGTACTCAAAATTGTGCGTGGCTGCTACTTTGGCGATGTGAATGCCACAGATATGTGGTGCAAAATGGATCCCACTCTGACGGCGGTGAATAATGCCAGCTGCCATGTGTGCGACAACTTGAACTACTGCAATGCAGCGGAGGCCATCGGGGTCAATCAAGTGGAGACGTGGAAATTGATATCACTAATTGTGTTTCTTTTGGCACCCCAAATACCCTGAATGAAATCGAGATGCCAGTCCATTGTAAACCTAGTCAAATTTAGTCATACCTTTGTATAGATTGTTTGCCAACAAAAATGGGTTCTTAGAGCCCAAGTTAATGTCACAATTTGAAGAGTTAATTAAGCTAATGGAATTAAGTATCCGCCCCATTGTGTTAACGTTCAATCAGTGCCATTAGATGAGCCATACAAATTAGTCCGTTTTGGCCACGCAAATACAACTACGAGCCGTATGAGCCGAAAAGATGGCAAACAACAATTCGGAGAGCGAAATACAAACTAATAAAAACTAATTTTACACCGAAATGCCAAATTGTTTATTTGTTCGAATGCCACTAATGAACTTTTGCTTTTGCCTGCCACGATGGACGGATAAATGATGGAGAAGGGCAGGCAGGCACACACACACACACACAGAACACAGCACACACAGCACACATAGCACACACGGCTACCCACCTCCATTCGACCCACAATGTCAACACGAATGCGGTCGGTATTTCGCCCCCCACTCACTCCATGGGATATACTCGAAGGTACGCTCGTATAAATGCCAGGAAGCCGAAATGAACTGAAAAACAAAAAAGAATAAGAAATGAACAAGAAAATCTGTTTATGAAAATCACATTCTGAATGCGATTGTTCGCTCAGCTCAGTTTCTGTGCTGTTTTGTTTGGGTGCTGTTCAGTCTCATGTGTGCAACGCTTCGAGTCGGTAGTGTACGGTAGTCGCTAGTCAATAGTCGGATAGACACTATATATAATGTGATTGCCATCGGCATCTGTGAAGACTGTGAAAAACATCTGTAGCACAGATCGAATCTGTATCCGCACATCTTATTGAATCACCTCAATACTCGCGCACCGAGCCCCATTAGCGGCCCCGCAGTGGACAGTGGAGAGTGGCATCGTTCGATACAATGCGTCTGTTTGTCTCTCTGTGGCTGCTCGTCACGCTGGTCAGCACAGGTGAGTGCCAGTCCCAGTGCCAGTCCCTCCTCCTCCTCCTTCTCCTCCTACTCGTGGTTGACACACATATTTACGCATGTCGTCATCATCATTGTCACCCCTCCTCCTCCATAGCTCTGGCGATTACCTGCTTCGAATGCGATTCCGTCAACGATCCCGGGTGTGGGGAGATTTTCTCGGGCGATGACATAGCCAAGACGGATTGTAATGCCGTCGAAGTCCTGGCCGACATGCGATCCTACTACCCCCAAGGCGCGGAGCCCACTTGCCTGACCAAGTACTATGAGGGCAGTAAGTACATATACACACACAACGCTTTACTTATGTATGTGTATACCTAAAGTTTTTATTGTTTTTGTTTGGCAGTGCCTGGAAGTTCGCGTTTCGTTCGGCGCTCCTGCTTTTTTGGCGACTCCTCGCCGGCGGGCTTCAGCTGCGACGTGTCCCCGGATCCATTGGTGCCGTATCAGAATTTCCTCGGCTGTACCCTCTGCAACAGCAATCTATGTAACGCTGCCAGCAGCAGTCTACCCTCCATGTTGCTTTCTTTTGTTTTCTGTGTTTTTGGTTTACTTTTGTGGCGCACAAACTAACAGGAAAATGGAGCACATAGAGTTACCGTCTAAGAAATATGCGGAATGCATAGTTAGCCGTTTCTGTCAAACGAAGAAGCATAAGGAACGCATAGAGCAGCGATTATAGAATTTTGTTTTTAGCTACAATCTTTTTTGAAAACAAGTACTTAGATTATTTTTTTTTTTTAATTTCCATTTATTTGATTTTGTTTCCGTTGTTTTTATACATCCACTAAAATGATTTAACATACATATATATATTTTTATAATAGTTATTCTTGTTTGTTTAATAATAATATATAATTTATTGAATAAAGTTTACTCGTCTCCTACTATATATGTGTGTGTATGTAAGTAAGTGTCTGTATTGTATGTGTGTTGAGTGTTTGCTTGTAATTATAATTTATCGATTAAAAATATGCATAAAATAAATAAAATAACATTTCAAATCAAATCAACACACTCGTCGTTTCAAATCAGCAATACACACACTCAATTGATCTCTAAATATAATATTCATACATGTATGTAGGATGTACATTTAATTCCAGTTTGCTGCATAATTTATCGTTTGGGGATGTGCGGTATGGTATGTGGGTACACAGATAACACGATCACTAAAGCATTATTTATGGGGTTTAGGTTTAGCTGCTGGCTATATCGATTCATTTCATTTCACTTTGCAGGGCTACACATAAATAACATTCAAATATAAATATATATATATGTTTAGGTTTATGTTAATGGGTAATTGTATCTGTATAATATATGCATATATCAAATAGTATTAACTACACATTGAGAACAATTCAGATAGAAAAACAGTTTTTATGTACAAAAAAGATTTAGTGTTTGCTTTACCAAATACTGTCCATGTATGCGTTCCCACTCCTCTCTCCATGAGAATCTCGGAGAGTCCATGGGAGGGCGAACGAACGACTCTGAGTCCATGCCACAAACAATCGGCAATCGCTCCAAGCACTCCACCGTCTTAAGCTCTATAAACATCATTATCATCGATCGATTGTGTAAGAATTAGTCAACCAAAATAAAGTAATTCACATTCAGAAACAAGTAACAAACAGATTTCATTCTCTTATTTATCGCTTAGCTTTAGATCGTGTACTGGGTGATCATCAACTTGTTCAAGTAACTATTTGCAGCTGGTATTTATAATGTATAGATCGGTTACATATGTATAATGCTGCGCTTACGTACATACACATATACAATTGAATTATAGTAACAACAACACAGAGAGTTTGTTTAAAACCTAAAGAACTATTCATATTAACTTGTAGCCTTAAACTGCTCCTCTCTCTACATATCCCCCACCCCACAGATTGCATTAGATCTTGAATGGGAAAGGAACATACATAGGTAAAGGGGTATGTGGGTTAGGTAGGACATTGTGGAGTACCAGCCTCCACAATCGTTGTGGAGTGTTGCCTGTCATTTGGTGCAATCTGTGGGCCCATGTCTTCAATTTTCCCCTTCTTCAATTTTCGTTGTGGCTTTTCCATTGTAAGTTGTAACAATTCGCTTGAGTAGTGCAATGATCGTTCCACTGATCCAACAGAGTCTGCCATCGCTCAAAGTCAGATCAAGAGAGATATACACAGGAAGAGACCTATCCCCTCCCCACACATCATATTCGTATTCGTTCTTTTTTTTTTTTTTAACATAAAAACTGACTAGAAAAGTGTGCAAAAATTTCGTGTGTGAGTGCGTGCGTGTGTGTGTCTGTGTAAGTGTGAGCAAAAGAATTTCGTTGGTATTGAATATGGAATGGAATCTTAAAATAATTATTGAATTTCCATGGGTTTTGTTTATGTAGCCTTCAACTTGTCAATATTTGTTTTTTCCATTTTGAGATCAATTTGACATGAGTACGTGGATCGATCTCTCTGGACACTGTTGACAGACTCTGTTGGCTCAGGACATTGGCTTTACATTTGTATCGTGTACTGTGGGCTATATATATGGTATTGGGCATCTAATATATAGTATATGTTGTATCTGAGCATAAGCATTGTAGCTTTAATCGAAACATGTTTGGGTTTTTGCTTTATCTATATATTTTTGTTGCGACCAAATGGAGTAGTGAACCGTTGAGAGACACATTCGGATTCGGGTCTCAATGCAATTTATACATGTTTTACACTTTCTATACACATAGCAATAGTAATAGCAATAATAATAGCAATCTTAACAACATTAATAACGAATTCAGTCAAGTCAGTAAATTTGGTTTACAGAAAAAAATAAAGAAAAATATAAAATACATGCTAAGCGAAATTATAATAAACAATAATAAACATTTTTTTGTTTTCACCCCCCATTTTTTTCATTTTCAATATTCAATTGATCGCGGGTTATCTTTCTTTAACATTTCATTTCATTCATGGCTATAGAAATACGGATTTACATTTAGTTGTACACATTATATAGGTAGTTATTGTTTATGCATACGTATAATATATATGTTTATGTTTTTATATATGTATAGTATATGTGTATAGGGGGTTATTATTATTATTTTAACAACTATTTGTATTGTAATTTCAAAGCTTTGCGTTTTGAAACATGAACTCACAGAGTATTTCCATTATATAATATATAATTTGTATGTTTTTATCTTCATTTTGTTGTTGTTTTTTTTTTGTTTTTTGTTTTCATTCATTTGAAACATTTAACATTAACACGACGGCGGCTGCTGCTTGCTGCTGCCACTTTCGATACATTTATTTATAAATAGGTTTTTATAAATGTTTAAACATTTTCTTCTTCCTCTTCTTCTTAACGATCATCTTCCGCCAGGAGGTGCGGAAGGAAGTGTGTGTTCTGAAATCTTTAGGTTTGAGTGGTTTTTGGTGGTGGTGGTGGAGATGCATAGGGGGTAGGTCCGGGTAGCGGTTTTGGCTGAGCACTTGATCATCGGCGGGCAATATTGGTTGGATTGAACAGAGCTTCCGATACGGAGAGCCCCTTTAGATGCCCACAAAGCCATAGACCTCCAGCACACGGATCTCAAAGTCACCGGATGGACAGAGCGGGGGATTGTTGAAGGTCTTGCAACCATCCGTTTTGCCAAAACGTATATTCTCGTCCATCCAAATGGCCTGACCCTCACTAAACAGGAAAGAGAAGCCATATATTAGTGAACGAAACAGGTTGAGTATCGAAATAAGTCGCGACTTACCCTCCACCGATTGTAATCATTTTGGAATCGGCTGCCATAAACAGCTCGGAACTGTGTCCCAGATCCTTGTCACCCTCAATGCCCACCCAGGGGTACTTGGCACGCTCTGGATACAAAGAGAACAGGAAGGTTTCGCCGGTGCCAAAGTAGGCCTGTCGCTGGCCCTTGTCATCCTTGACATTCCTCTCAAACCAGCGCGACGAGCAATAGGCGCCAAAGACCTGCAATTAAAGTGGAGCTAGTACGATCTAGTGGATAGTGTTTTGTCCTGAAACGTACCTCATTATTGCAAGTCTTGATCATGAGCAGCGTGGGCTCGTGCTGCTCCACACGCACGTAGAATGTGGTCAGAGAGCAGCCGTGCTCTTCTGTGGTGTACAGCAGCACCGGTTGGTACATTGTTATCCGCACAGGCAGCCACGACCACAACGTGAATAGCTAAAGGGGGGCACACAGATATCACTTATTAGTTTTCTTGTTATACAAAAAAGAGAGTGGTATCATTTTGCTACAACTACTCGTACAAGTAACTGATTTAAGAGGGTAGCAATTAGCCAATGACAAAACAAAGTAAATACGTAGTAGGCGGGTATCAAAAAAGACGTGAAATAACATGAACTAAAAGGCCAAAAGCCAACGAAAACCAACTAAAAGCCAACGTAACATATATATGTATATACGGGTAAAAGAACTCTCAACATATCTATGGGGGGTAAGGGCTCTATGGGGGTCTAAGAGTGGGTACATAATGTAACTACGGCGCAGATACGGCAGCAGCTCGAACTGTAGGCAGCAGCATTGGTAGCGCAGCAGCAGCGGCAGCGCTTGTAAATCTTTCGATAGTTTTTATTATTTTCTGATTGATGTATGGGATGATGATGATCCATAGATGAGATCTCTGTAGTCTAGGCGGGACAAAGACACTTTTACATAGACAAAAAACACTTGTCTAAAATATTTTCGAAGACGGCACGAAACTGATTTTTCGGATGGGAAGTACAAATGGAAGGGAAATTGCATTCACTTTTTCATATCATGAAGGGATACATGTAGGGAAATGGCAAATGGTAGTAGATATTGGATTTTTGGAGGGGGTTTTGTTTTTCTCAATATGCAATGCAATGCTTACAAATTGTCTATCCGTCCAGGTTTTTATGAAATTCTTTGTGCCCGGCAAACCAAAATGCTATGAAAAGATATATATAGATGGATATATATTGCAAAATGAAAGAAACCAAAACAAAAAAAAACGAATGTCAATTATAGGCGATATGTCGGGGGGGATACAAATGAATACGATATGGAGTTTGGGGACACATTGAGTAGATTATCTCTCCTTTTGTATTGTCTCTAGCTTGAATATTTCCCACTCTAAGAAATCATATGGGGGGTGTAAAAAAAACTCTAGCAAATATTGTAGGATAAAAATCAACTAAAAATCATCGTTAAATTCTATCAAATGGAAACTGAAATTCTTTATTTATGTTCTATCAAATTCAAGTCCAATTAGATGGATGAAAATTTCCAGCATTTCATGCATAGTTTTTGGATATAGATGTATATAAATATGGAATCATAAATTGTGCATAAAAGCTTTAAATAATTACGCTATGCTTGGGATATATAATTGGAGATATGCAATACATGTTTTATAATAAAACTTTATTATAATTTGGAATGTTTGTTGTTGTGGGTGTGGTGGGTGGCAGGGTTTCTCTGTAGAGTGGAGTGGTTTGGTTTTTGGAGTTTGACTTTGACTTTTCACTTACATCTTCGTTCTTACAGACTTGACTTTTCAGATTGTGTATGGGATAGACGCCCATTGCGATGGCTCTATGACCAGGCGACTTTTCGCCCTATATATATATATGGTAAATGGATATATATATATATATATGTGTGTGTATGCACCCAAAATGAAGACAAATGAACCCGCAGAAGTTATTGGTTATTTTTTTCATCGATATCGAAAAATGAATATACATTGATCAAAGCGTACGCAAAATTTTTAGTTTTAGTTTTAGTTTTTTGATATTTTTGATTCATTCATTCGTTTGCCAAGGCAGCAAAAATAAAGGGTACAAGAAAAATAGAAATAACATTTTTATAAAGATTTTGTTCATATAAAGGAGCAGATATATTGTACTGCAGGATATTTGGTTTATTGGTTTGTGTATATTTCTGTTTTTGTGAGTATATTGTTTTTTGGAGTATATATTTTTAATAGAAAGCTATGTACTGTATATAAAAAAAAACTTAAATATTTTTGTTTGTATATAAAGCTGCATGTTGTATGGATGTGGGTATATTATGTATTTGTTATTATAATCATGATTGGTTTCTTTCGGTTGTATGTTTTGGCTGTGCTTTAGCTTTGTCTTGATAAGTAAAACAGAACGAAACGAAACGGAACGGAAAGCTTCACAAAAGTTAGTTCATTCAGCAGCAAAAACAAAATAGAAATGGAAATAATATAAAAAATAAAAAAAAAAATAGATAACATTAAACAACACAAAAGTCAAGTTGGCAGCAGAACGAACACAAAACTCGAGTCGAATTTGTCAATTGAGGGAGATACTCGTATTGTATTTTAGAAAATTTCCCAGAAAGATATGATGCCTGAGGCATTGATAAGTCGGGGAAGTCTTTGGCTTTGAGATTAAACTATTTTAAAGTTCGCTAAAATATTTTATACTGATATCAAAACAATTTAATATTACATATTTGCAATATGATTTTCTTCTTTATATTTTATAAAATAAATGTGGTAATTATTTATTTTTAAATCATTTCCTAGTTATTTTATCTCTTATAAGTAGAAGTAGTTTCGATAATGCGTTGCAAGATTGTTGCAATTCCTTATCAGTAAATCAGAAATTTCCACTACCGCTAAAACGCATTAAGTGGTTTAGTGTTGAAACCAACAAGATCACTAATACATCTGTATTTTATGGTCATAATATTTGAAAACTGTAAAGCAAGTCTCCTTTTATAAAATTTGTACTTTCGAAACAATTTCTTATAAATAATGTCTTTTCACATTTCCAGCATTTAACAGATATAACCACCATTTCCTATCTTCATGTCCCTCATTGAATCTCATGCATTATCTTCACTCTATACAATTTTTCGTCTCCCCGAAAAATTTGCCATCGACGACTCGAAGAACTCAAGCAATTTCATAGCTGAACAAATGAACTGAGAATGGAAACTCATTCAATAAACATTATCAAACATGTATGTATATATACAAAAAAAATAACAACTGAACAAGAACAAGCAGAATCAGTCCAACATCAGCAGTATAACATTATCATTATCAGTATGAGTAGTATTTTGTATAATTTGGAATAATTTGTTTCTAGCCTCATACCAAATTGCGACAGCTCTCGGAGTGCAGCTTCTGGTGTATGGATTTACATACAGATATTGTTTTTTGTTTTTTTTTTGTTGTTTTGTGGGGTTTGGTGCGTTCAAGTTGTATCAGAAACATAACCAGAAGAAAAAAAAAATATAAAAAAAAAACAGAAGAGTTTTCCATTAGACAAAAGTGTTTGCTTCGTATTTGTGCTGTGTGTAGAGAGAGGTAGAGAGCATTTTGGGGGCTGCTTCCAGAGATAGTAGTACTACTATATACTACTACCTGGCTATAGTTTCTCTTTGTATATTTTTGTATTTTTGGTGTGATGTGTGGGTTTTTTTTGGGTTTTGGTTTGGGTGGGCAGTAGTGCAGGGGAAAGCTTAGATAGGATTATGAATTACATACCTCACGGATGGTCAATGTATGCGACATCATCTGAATGTTCACCTGCGACTGACTAGTGGGCAGATTATCACTTGAACGCGATTTGATTAATTGCTTCGAACCGCTATTGAGCACGGAACGGCTTTTTAGTAGCATTTCAGTCTTGATAAATATTCTAGAAATATACTGGGTACTGCAAATCGAATAAGGAGATGAGGGTTAGCCATTAGTATTAACTTATAAATGGTATTTGAGGATTCTTTCCTACCTCAGTCCCCTAATACTAAACGCGGCATGGAGAAGTTTCGCCGGCGACACTGGTATCTTCTTGCAGAATTTGATCAGGGCATTGCCAATGTCATTTTTAATATTATCCGGACTCCATTCGTTGTTCGACTGGCACTCCTTGTGGAACAGATTGAGCACGACCAGGGCCACACGGTACAGGACCTTGATGCCCTCGTGGAAATAACAGTCCATGATCCGCACCAGATGCTGGAAGGGTAGACCGGCTAATATCCACCAGCACCAGTCCATGAATACGCGCTCCAGCTTCAGACCCGGACAAATACGTTGGAAATACGAAATGGCACTTTTCTATTTCAAATACAAAAAAATTCTTTGATTAACTACTGTTTGATTGATGGCATTATGATTGAGGTGTGCGCTTACCGTGTGCTTTTTGGCTATCTGCATCACCGTCTTCCAGGTGACCTCATGCTGTAGTTTGGTTTGATTGATGAATACCTTCTCCTTGCTGCCCACCAGACCGGCCAGGCACATGTAAGCTTCCTCCTCTGCAAGGGAAATTAAGCGTGAGAAGGAGAATATTAGATACAAAACTATTAGAAATCTGTGGGAGATCATAGAAGATCGTCACCTCATGCTATTAATTGAGCATTCCTAGGGCATAAAATTAATTAGAGTGATCTCTTAGTAAAGTGCTTTAAGCAATTATCAGTATAACCTAATGGCAATTATAGATGATCATTGACTCCCAAGCTTATAGTTGGAGTAGTTTAAAAATAAAAATTACTGTACTGAAAACTAAGCCACAATTTATCCTAACTTATCTCCATTTATTTGGGACATCTCCTAAGTGCAATAAGACCTTGTATTTGTTACCCTAATTATTAGATAATTTTTTAGAAATATAAGCCATAGCATATCCTAATCAAAGATCATTTTACAGGCTTAAAGATTTTTTAAGAGTCTCCAGTATTTAATATGGATAATCTACTTAAAACTTTTAATAATATTCGTAGCATTCACATCTGAAATCACCTCGAAAAAGTGTTTTTAATTGCCATGAGTTCATCACTCGCTCAGTGAATGTTCTGTTTGAATATGATCCGAATAAATCTAACCAAATTATCTCGTTTCACATGTAATATATGTATGGTAAACAATATGCCCAGCCAGTCAGTCTATCGATGTGATCAAATTGCAGTTTTTTCTAACAATTATCAACCTTATGACAGGCCTAACCTCAACCACAATTTATCCAGCCTTCCACCTCTATGGAACACGCCCCCTACATCAAACACTCCAACAATAAACGACAGAGCTGGTTCTAATTTAATTGTAGAACTACTGCAGCAGCAGCAGCTCAAAGCTCAGGGCGGGCGATTGTGGATCCATCAGCCAAGTGCTGAGAGAGGGATGAGAGGGTAGGGGTGGTGGTATATATGGTATATATGGGTATATGGGTTTGTGGTTCTGTCGCTGAATCGAGCAAATGCATTGCCGCAATGACGCAGAGGAAAATTGAATTGAGAGCTTTGTCGACTGCTCTGCTCTGTCTGGGATGCACTTTGACCAGCATTAGCCATTCCCGTCTCCTCAATTGCAAAAACCATAATTAGCAGGGAGGCAATTCTGTATGCTGTATACTCGTATTTGTGGTCCCTGATTATTTGATTACAAAATTAGATCAAATTATGCAATGGCGAGTGCTATAAATAATTCCCATTCTGCAGAAGAGTTCGTGGGGGGGGATTCATTAGCTATTATCTGATGAAAACGCTGATTACACATTCACATTAAAGTTCATGGAATGTGTGAAAAATAAAGCCAATGTAAATGTGTAAAAATGTTATACAAATTTAATCGTCAATTAGCAATCAGTCAGGCAGTCCCGCTTAGGGGGGACTTTAAATTCAATTTAGATACTGAACCGAATTGAACCTCTCTTTAATGGAGTGTGATAAGGAGTAGGCAGGCGCCTGCCTACACATTGATTTGTGCTTCCATTCCATTTCTGTTTCTGTTTCTGCTTTTGTATTACAAAGTTTAATTGCTTTCAAACGTTCGAGTAAACAAAAGGCAATCGTTATCAGTGGATTGTGCCGGGCAGGCCACTTATCAGTGGATTACACTAGCCTAAGGCGGTTTGGCTTAGTTTATGAGATTGCTCTTAATTATAATTGGCTTTTCCACAGCGGTGAGAGGAGAGCGGAGAGCGGGCAGACAGGAGTACGGAGAGCAGCGTCCGACCGACCGCCCATTGAACTTTATCTGTTGCGGAAAGCAACAACCCCACCAACCAAGTTGGCAAACATTTGATAAGTTTATTAAATATCTTACAGGGGCGAAATCGCACCGAGCGAATTTATTTATAGAGCATGACGCAGAGACAGACAGACAGAAAGACTGTGAGACTGTATTCGGAATTGGCATTGCAATTGCAATGTGGCATTAATCTGCAAACAGTTGCATTCAACTGGCGACAGCTCAAATTTTAATGACCCATCATTATCAATAAGAGCAACCGACAACAGAGACAGAGGCAGGCAAGAACAAGCTAAAGTCAACAATTTCCAATTGGAATCGGAGTGAACGTTATGGCAGATATAGTAGGACTATAGGACACCCTGCTATATGCAGGAAATATACATAAGAAGAGTGGAACCGGAAGGAGTACGAGTGTAGACCAGGAATAGACCTATAGATTACTCTACCTCCTAAAATTGTAGAACACCGGACATGCATAAATCTTCGCTTCAGTTCTTTAGCCTGTTACATCCATACCCACAGGCACAATATACCCCTAGAATAAACCCCAACAACTACCGTACATAAAAAGTAAACAATTTAAAATTGAAATTAATCAAAGAACTGTCTCGCACACCAATAAGCCTCTAATTAGGCAATTAAGTCTAGCAAAAATAATCACAATAAAACGCTAAATCGTTAGGGTTTCCATATATATTGCATGTGCGATAAGGTTTTGAGCTACTAAATTTAAGTGGCTGAACAAAATACAATAGCTACATACAATGGTTAAATTGTCAACGGACAATGGATGGAGGGGAACGAAAAAGATAGAGATAGAACAGAAGCAAAAGTCTTTTGATATAAGACACAAGAACTGCCATTTATTTGACGTCAGAGAGCACGTGTCGAGGTATTTATGAGGCAGTAGGTGAAAGACTCGTAAAACCCACTAAAAATAGTATCACATCTAAACAACATCAACTTAAGATAGAAGACAGAAAACAGGAATAATCCGCTGCCGCCTCTGCCTCTGCCTTAATTAGCTCAACAAACTCAAACATAAACAATGCAAATATTTCCAAGATAGATGGACGCCGTGGCCCGCCAGAAACACATAATAAATTTAAATAAAAGCGAAAATAACATTTTTCAATTGCTAATTGGGGGGAGACTGCAGACAGCTGACAGAAGTCAGCCATGAGGACCAATGAATGCCCTGCTAAAACATCCACAAACAGATGGAATGGAAGAGGACTTTAATACACATACAGTAGAATGGGAGAGGACTTTAATACACATACAGAAGAGTGGGAGAGAGATATCCATTAGCTTATGCTGAGCAATGCAAAGCTCACGAATACATTGACAGATGGTCGTATGTTTGTATAGTTTACACTTTTATTTGTTTAGTTAGGTCAGGAATGAACGGTAAAAGTTCTCTTTGATCTAACAACAGATATGGGGATTTAAATACCTTCTGTTTAAATTAGGTCTGTCCTCATGAATCCTTTCACTATACATATTCCATTTTTTTTCCCCACTTCATCACCTGTCGCCCTCAAGGCTGACGTCAAAAAAATAACAAGCCATCAAAATAAAAGTACTCGTTTATAGAATATGCCGTATATTTTAATCTGAATTGTGCGTGCCTCGAATGCCCAACAACCACTCGTCGTAGATTTGATGATGAGTCGCAGCCACACTCCACTCCGTCTTCCATATAAAAGCCGTGCAAAATAAATATGCATGAGGCGAGAATGTTTGGGTAGGGCACACACCAGCAACGCCACAAAACAGTGAGCGGGGGAGAACGGCATGGAGTGAGATAAACATTAGGAACAATGGAGGAATAGAATAGGAATAGGCAAACACACTCGTACAGCCATAAAGGAAAGAGTACAAATATGCGAGCATTTCTTTTGTTTCCATTCTGTTTTTAGTCTGGGGTTTTATGCGAATTTTATGCTCACGTGTTGCCGTCATTAGCAAACTCAAAGCACAACAGAGGAAAGAATAGACCAAAAAAGAAGAACAAAACAAATGTGAAGCAAAGCCAGAGTGTTTATTCCATAAATACATGCATTAAAAGCTGTGTTTAGGCGCAAAAATTCATTGGATAAAAGATCTTCTAGGAAAGAAAAATGTTACAGTCTCGAAAATCCCTCTAAAATTCTTAAAATTCTAAAATTTCCTGAGGACAGAGAATTAACAGGTAATCTGTAAGCTGTAGCTGTTTGTCTCTCTCTCTCTCTATTCTGAAAGCTCTGCGCCCGAGAATGCAATAGCAAAACACACTTCTCGGGTACTGCAATAAGAAATTAAATTCTAGAAATTTCTTAGTTAGTTCCTGACTTTAATTTCCTTTAGGGCTATGCGCACACCAATCCTGTTTTAACTGCACTAAAAAATACATACATCGATTATCACAAGCACACAAGAAAAGTGTGTCAGTAAACTACAAATCGAAGGGCACTCCAGTGGGAGATGGAGAGAGAGAGAGAGAGAGAGCGGAGATACCAAGAACAAACAATGTGGAGAAGCCTTGAGCAACTTCCACCTCCTCCTCCTTTTCCTGCTGCAACGTTCTGCCTTCTGCCTCTGTTTACTTTAAGTGGGTAAAGGCGAATCGAAATTCGCAAATTGCAGAAAGAGCCCCCCGCCACCCAATCGAATCGAATCGAGTCGTATGGCAATGACGTCAGACAGCAGAATGCAAACAGACAGATACAGATACAGATACGTATGCATATGGTACTACTATCTATATCACTTTAAACATTTGCTTATGTACTGGCGGCGCGCCGCGGCGGCAGACTCTTGAACTTGAAAAATGTACACACACACACACATACATAAAAATAAAAGAAAAAGGAGAAAAATATTCAATATGGAAATGCGTTGATTGAACATGCAGCTCATCGCCACATGCCATGTCCATGCCCTGTCAGTTTTTCCATTCATTTCATTTCGTTTGATTTCGATTTCGAGTGTCCTTCGTTTGGACACTTTATGGAGATTTGTATTATTTTTTGCAGCTGTTTCTGTTTCTGTTTTTCTTTTGATTCGGTTTATTCCAAAAAGTTCCACACAATTTTTGGTTTACAAAATGCAAAAAGTATTAAAATTTTCAGATTTTTGTGGGCTCATGGATGGAAAATTAATGGAATATTAAAAGTTTTTCAGATATTTTTTAGAGATTAATATCTAACCATGTACATATATCAGATATATTTAAGTATGAGGGAGATATTCTTTTTTTATACATTGTTGATTTTTATTTGAAAAAGGTTTTAAATCGCTTTTATAATATCTTTACAGATTTTATACCAATCCAAACCGATTTCTAAAACACTCAGATTTGAAATTCGGTTGAAATTGGTTTGAGGAAGATTTCTAGAGCTTGACTGTTCCTTCACATCATTCTCATAGAACTTTGTACTGTGTACCGTCTGGGAAACAAAATACGAAATCATAATAGACGGAGAGACAATACTCTGCCTTGAGATCTCGACCGGAATTGAATTTTAATGTCAGACAGATGGACAGACAGATGGCAGATAGGCAAAGGAAGAGAACAATTTTTTGCTCAGTGTAAACAAACCTTCAGAATGACAGGCAAACGCCGCCGGGTCTGACCTCTCCCCCATTCGGCTTATCAGCAGAGCTCTCCGTCCCAAAAAAGTAAGGCGCATAAGCGGCGGCCTGCCTCCTGTTTGCCATTCCCTATACCACAGATACATATATAAATACTATATATAGACCCAACGAAATTCGAGATAATTGGTAATGAATATGAGATAATATTCATGATGATAGGAACGAGAGCGCATTCGTGTTTACAATACAAAATTGAACGATCGCTCATCTCGTTTGTTGTTGTTCGGTGTATGGGGGTCTGAACTGATCTGATCTTAGGGTTCAATAGCTGCGATGGAATAGATTAAGGGGCCTACCTATACGATGCAGTATCGATAAGGTTAGAGGGGGAGATTATCACATCAGACCAGCTGTCTGTTTAATCTGCATTTAAGCCTGGGAATCGTTGAACGTTTAAACAAAAGCTTTCGAAATGCATAGATCTCTGAAGGTTAAAGATGAGATTACCTTTTACTTCCCCTCCACCTTCTCTTTCTCTCGCTCATTTTTTATTTGGAAATTTCCACTAAATTCCCAACAATTGACTGGATCTTGCCAGATTTGTACACACTTATGTCCACACCTGACTGGATTCAACCAATTTCTGATCAAATACTTTACTGTATATATTATAGTAGATTAAGCTACAAAGAGCGCGTCCCCCGCGACAATGATGAGCCGCTGATAATAAAGTAATACAAACAATTACAAAAACAGCAACCAAACGCGGAACTACACGTAAAGCAGACTGTTAGACGTTGATCATTTGACTACGGTCAAGACCGAGGTTCAGTCCAGTGTGGCAGACAAAAAAAAAAAAAGGGAAATGTACAGTGCGTTACACGATTGTATGACTGATCACAGCGTAACAACAGCCGATACATATTATTTATGGGTATAATAATAAATAATAAGCTAAGAAAAAATATTTTGTGGTAAGAACGAGCTTTGGTAAGCTTTAATCATTGATCAAAATTGGGATCGAAAGTATTCTAGTTACTTGGCATAATTTATTTGTTCTCATATCCATTTAAAACTCCCCATCGATCGCTAACCTTTAATCTGCCCTGAAGCCATGAACTACACTGTATTTTCAAAATTTGTACAAATAAAAAAGAAAAAAAAAGCCTAGATTTACATTTTAAATTACGCGTTTTTGATGGCTCGGCTCATTGCATGTTGGCCAAATCAATTAGCCACCAAATCACGATACATCAATTTGCAATGAGCTGCGATACTTGCACAGAGCATCTCCCATATTTCCCCCGTACACAGAAATTAAGAGAGAGAGAAAGAGAGAGATGTATAGTGTAGAGTGAATGGGAAGGGTGGCAGGCAGCAGACCAAGTTGCCTTACAATTGTGCCACTTATTTGTGTATTTTGTAGAGGCGATAAAAATGACTTGAACAAATATTGACAATTCACGTGTGTAGAGTGGATTGGAGTGGAGTACACCCTATAGATAGAACATCCAGAAAAACACAGAGATTAAATAGGAAAAGAAAACAGCGGGTAATAATGTTGTACCTAAAAGGTAATAATGCTGTTATTATTACACACACGAATCTTGATGTAAAATAAATCAATTATTTTCTCTTATCAATTTATTATTGTACCCCAACAACTACCGACTACAAAAAAAGGAAGCCATAGATTTTTGAAAACTCACCCGACATGAAATGCAAAAGTATCGATGTAATGGGATACAATACTGGACTGTAGGTAATATCGGGGCAATCATAGCCCAACACATTCACAATGCGATCGGCAACGGCACGGCCCGTGCTGGTCAGATGATAGGGCAAACAGTGTGTGGCATCCACAAAGGCGGGCAGCATAATCGGCTTCTCCGACAGCTCTGTGGTGCCAAAGACCTTGAGAGAGTAACACGCATATAAATTAAAGCCACAATTTAATTAAATCAAGTTATGTTCATTTTACCTGATGGACCATCTCCCAGTAGAACCCATCGAGCATTTGCTGCTTGGTCAGGTGCTGGCCGCATAGCATCGGCCATAGCTGGGCGCGTATGGGAGAGTTGATCGGCCATGAGTTCTCTCTGAGTATGTTCTTTACGTCACGTTTCTTGCCCTGCTGCAGTAGCTGTTGGATTTCCGTGTAGGAGCGCAGTGCCGGCTCCTTGCCTATAAATATAGATCGATTATAGAAAGCGATTAGCAAGGGTTTGGCTTTGATAAGGGATTAAATATAGCGGGTACATTTCGATTGATTAAACTACAAGCTTATTCCACTTAGGTTAGGTCATTAACTGCGGGGCTGATGATGTTCAGGCCATGGCCAGAACAAGTGTTTGAGGCTGCCGTTTCGGCTGCCACTTGAGGGCACCTAATCATATGACATGATTGTTATTGTTTTTATTGTTTAGGGGGCCCCTCTTGAGTGCACAGAAACGTTTTCTTCATTATCATCAAAGTCGCAACTTGCACACAGGCCACTGCTCGTGTGTTCGTGTACCGATAAGTAGTTAAATTTCGTCTTTAAGAGCTGTAGAGCGGCGTACACGTAATGTTCAAAATTACTCATACGCCAAGTGGTCAAAATAAAATACTTGAGAAAATGCATCAGATAAGTTTTGATATTGATAATTGATAAAAAGTAACAACCACAAACGAAATATGTGAACCATGAAAATGTCGTTTAGATTTCCACTGAAGTGCACAACTAATTTGGCAGATTCTCCGGAACGATAAATATTTTATGGAAATTTTGTTTGGTGTCAACGTTTCTTGGGAAAATGTTTAGCGCAAACAATGCCTATAAGTTTATCTATCATCAGCTGTAGAAAAGTACACGAAACAACCATAAAATAAGTTGAAATGTTGGAGCATTAAATATTGATAGGGGGACTATTTTATCAATCAAAGTTGAACTATTGTGAAATTTTGTATGCAAAAATTTAAAATATTTTACTTTTGTGCTTTTAGTGCTATAAAACTATTTCATGATAATCGAGAACAATTGAACATTTTATTTATCGATAAATTAAATATTCGAAGCCTCATTTAGATTAATATCGGATCCGATTAGCACTATTTGAATTTTAAATCGATAAATTTCAAACTTTAAACCGAAAAAAAAAATTAAAGATACTTCTTTCATCTTCTAGTCGGAGAAAATCATGAAAAATATCAGAATGCAAAATATCATCGAATACCGAAAAAACTTTTAGAATGCAATTATTATCCGTTTCTGACAGCCATTGTACCTCCAATCCTCCAATCGAAATATAAACCATATGACAACCGTAGATCGATGTTTTGCGGTTTGTTTTTTCTATCGCTCTGGTCAGCTGGTCAACAGCCATATGTAGGACAACGGTACCACATATCCCCCTCGATTACCCTTGAACCACGAGTACCCGCAGCGCTTGCCACCCAATGCCATATTGAACCACTTCGGAGGGGGGTGGAATGTGGTTGTTGTTGGGGCTGGGGCTGCCTGGGTTGCCATATTGATTAGATATCTGGACGGGGTAATTGATTGCAGCGCGGACAAGTCTCATTACAGCAAACGACAGACAGCTGATCGATTTTTGCATGATGTTCCCCTTGGAATACCCCTCTCTCTAGGCATCACCTATCTATCACCTGGAGTTATCTTGCTCTACTGATAAGCATAGAACGGTAAACGCAGCGCCGGCCAGCGCCATATCAATATCAGTCATCAACAAATCAGATACTATGTTGGCAACCTTTTGATTTATTTACTCTTTCGAGCTCTGCAGTGTTTTTCTTTTTAATGCAATTCTCGTTAAAAACTGTATAAAATGTCATAAAAAATCATTTAGGGAAAAATGCATTTGCAAATGACGAAAGAAAAAACGATAAGAATGATGATAGGGAGGGGGATGTAAAAAGTGCTGTTTGAAGTGCAATAACAATAAAAACTGGTATAACTGAGTGTGCCTCCAACACACTTCCACTCTCTCTCTGGATCGGTCCCACAGCTTGTGTGGGTAATTAATCCCCTCCCCATTTATACAGCATCCACAGCCGATCCATTTGCATTTTCAAGCAACAAATATGGAAATGCTGATGCTGGAGATTGTATGGGGGGACTGTATGTATGTATATCTTATACAACATTCCACTTACAACGTATGCAGTAATTTTCCTATGAACGAATCAATTTCATTTGTTTTGTGGCAAAAAAGCAAAACAAAACCACACAAAATGCATCATAATTGGATGTACACATTATGATGTTACACAGATCTAAATGGGTATAATCGCTGCATGTAATATTCACATATTTAAAACCCAACAAAATGCTGTAATCTTTAATCAGACATCAAATGTTTTGTGTCATTCAATTCCGCAATTATTGAGAGTTGAGCACAGAGCAACAGATGCAATCGGTATTAAATAGCTTTTATTTCTTTCTCTATTTTCAGCAAAATACTTGCGTATCATTCATTGTTTTTTTTAATGGCTTGGTAAAACATTTTACACATCCCTCTGATGGATTTAAATTTTTTGTTTAAATGTTTTTTGTTACTTCTTTTTTTTTAATTTTTTCCTTGAATTTATGGCTGCGTTAATTTTTTTCCCTTTGTGTTAAACATATTAAAATTTTGGTTTGTTTTGTATACATTATATGATTTTTTGTTTAATCGGACGGGGTTGGTTTAAAGGGATTAATTATTGTATACGGTGCAGCAATCACTTTTCTAGATCAATTTTCCATAGTTTTACTACATGTACTATGTATTAACCCTCTATTATTTTTCCCTTTCATTTATCTTTGACCGATTTTTCTACTTTTCCCCTTTTCTTCCTTTTCCCATCATCACAATCTTCCCAATTGTTGTTTTGTTTAACGTTCAGTTTCCGTTCTAACAATTCTCAGAATCCATAAAGTGAATCATGGACACAAAATGCAAAATAAATAAAGCATTTATAGCGTTCATAATTAAATTATATTTATTAAAATATAACCTAATTAGCATTTACTGGTTTAATAAATGAATTGCACATGTAGTTTAAATGAATTCGAACTGTATTTAATATTTTTAAAGGAATGTATTCAATACATTCGTATGCACCATAAAATTCGTACAAATTTTTTCTTTAGAAAAGACCTCTACAGCTCACCTTTCCCGGCCACCAAAGTGAGTGTTACTTTAATTTATTTCAACTAAAAAACTTTTGCACACCAGTGGTTAAACATAAACATAAATTTCTTGTTTTGTTTTGCTACTCTTTAGTTTTAGTTTGGAGTTTTTTTATGATCTTAACTCTCGGATGGGATGATCGTTCGTCTGGTTGATGTCTGGATTTTTATTACCTGGACTGAGCTGCCAGCACTGGCATTTGGTTGTGATATCATTCGAGCTGGCAGCTATGAAGAGCGGCAACTCAAAGAATTTGTCGCACTCGGGATCGACGTAGACGCTGCTCCGACGACTGCTAAACTGCTCCAAGTCTTTCAGGCCCAAGACTTTGCCAACCATCTTTTTTAGTTGTGTTTAATGTTTTTTTTTTTTTGGTCTGTTTCTGTTTCCTTTCCGTTTGGGTGTGCTTCTCTGTGTCTTTTCCGTTTCTTTCTGTTCTGTTTCTGTGTCTTTTCCGTTTCTGTTTCTGTGTTTCTGTTCTGTTGTTCGATTTACAGTCTTGTTTTTTCGATCACTTGATTTTTTGGCATCGAGAACTTTTCGCGCACAACAACCACAGCGACCGCGACAACATTTATGTAGATTTTGTCAGTCTCCTTCTCCTCAGCGCCCCCGTGTTCGTCGCTTTCCTTCTCCTTCGATCGTTCGTTTCTTCTCGGCTGCCTTTTATTGTTTTAATTTATTGCGATCTGCAATTTGCTTTTGTCGTTGTCATTCGTCGTGCCAGCAGCAGCACTTGAATTTAATTTGCAACACATTTAAATATTCAATTCACATTGTTTTTTTTTATATTTTGGGGTATTTTGAAATTAATTTCAATATTTTAACACTTTTATCGCCTGGCGGAGGGTGGGTTGAAAGATATCGTTAAAAAGCGAAAGGAGTAAGCGAGACAGTCGCGTCTCGTCTCCCTCTGTTGCCCTTTGGAAAGCAACACAGCAACAACAAAAGTATACGGGTGGTAGGCCTACGTGCGGAGCGTTCGAATGCGTTCAATGTTCTCATGGGGCGGCCCGGCGGACAGGCCGGTTTCATGCTGCTTTCTGAATGAAACCAAAAAGCTTAAATGGGGTGGCGGAGCGAGCGAAAAAGAGAGCGGTAATGTCCAGTGAGAGTGCAGGCATGCGAGCGCGTAAAGCCCATTGCGCATGGGTGGAAGTGGGAATGAGTGAGAGTGCAATAGAGCGAGCGCGTAAATCAAAGCTTCGTGCGCATCGGATGGGTTTGGGAGAGAGAGAGAGAGAGAGTACATGGGGGGGGCTACACTGAAAGACAAGAAAAGAAGCTGCTAGCAGAAGGCCCATCATTCCTTGTGTGTGTTGAGATGTAAGAAAATTTATCCTAACATTTATCACCCCCACATAATCTGTTGATATCCAGATTATTTCATTCTTTTCAGTAGTGTGTGTGCAGTGTCCCCCAAAGAGATGAAAACTGGGAGTGTGAGGTGTGCAAACAAGTGTGAGTGCAAGCAAATAAGCTTTTTACATCAAAGAGAGCGCAGATCATAACCTGGTGGCGCGTGTGAGCTTTTTACTCTCTCTCTCTCTCTCTCTGCTTTATTCTATTTTCTGATTGCTGCCTACTTTTATTGTTTTTGCTCTTCTTTTGCGAGTGTGTTTTGTTTGTTTCTAATTCTCGGGCAGCAGAAACAGCGGAGTGGTTGTCGGCGCCATAGAGTAAACAGCTGTTTTCTGTTGTGCTTTTTCTGATCTGATCTTATCGGGCTCTCTGCTTTGCCACCAGACCGGAGGGGCGTGGGTTACGGTGCGGTTTGCCCAAATCCTAGTGTAAATGTTTTTATAAATAGCATTTTGTGGGAAATTTCGTAAGCACATTCTCTGCTTGGAAAATCCCAGGAAATATTTCTTGCTGTAACCATTTTCGCTGGCATTCTTTTCGTATACGTAGTGTGCGTTTAGGGCTGCGCTGCCAACTTTTTTATGGGGGGGAAAGTAAATACAATTTACGAGCATTTTTCAAAACCACCCAGTTCTTTGGCTTTGCTGC